GATGGTTTTTCTGAAACGTTGGCTTATTCTGGAAAAGTTAAAATCTGTTGGTCTCTGAATATCCAGCATAGCGTAGGGTCGTCAGCATAGAGGTTATAGGTCGGCAGCCTATCTTATTTGTCTACTTGTTACATAGCTGGGGTAAGTTCACTTTCTATCACGTGAAGCCCAAGATTGTAATTCTCCATTGTTTTAAAAATAAAGTCAGTTATTATCTATGTTTCCAATACTGTAATAAAGTTTACTTTAGTTACTCTGTTGTTTACGTATTATACTTAATGGATTCAGGTTTAGCTACACGTAATGATGTATTTATTGCTGAACTGTTTATCATTAACATCAACATAGCTGTCATAAATAAAATAAACATTGCTTCTTTAAGCGTTTTATTACATGAATATGCTATTTAAATAAAACTTAACGGATCAAAATGCAAAATAATCACCGACTTTTTAGCTACGATCCAACCTTTGGGATATAAATGTTTAATTTAAAAAATACATGTGTAAGCTTAGGCTTAGGTTAGTAAAGGTAAGAGATTTTTCCATCATGCACATGCATGCACCTTGCGATAAAGAAAGAAAAATTGAAAATAACTAGAATTCAATATCCACAATGAATTTACGAGCTAATGCAAATACAAGATGGCGGACTCTGACAAAAATTATAGATGACGTAAATAAGAAGGTTCGAATAGTCATTAAACATGCGAGTAGGTATGTGTCTACAGACGCTGTTTCGCCCACGCTCCATTCGGTAGCTGAGGTGAGTTGGTACACAAAATGCATGTGGGACCACACAAGACCTAACTCCTTAAATAGCTATGAAGCAGTTTGTGCTTCCTTTCATGGAATTTAAAAGATTAGACACGTTTTAGCTGTATAGTACTACCACAGACTTTCTAAAAGGGTTTTAACATTTCTGAAAAAAAAAAGTTTCTTTATTAAAAGAATGATATTCAATAATTTAAGACGTAATGTATATTTGAAGAAAGATTTGAGAAGAAAACAGTTTAATTAAATTTTGTCTTACGAACACTACCTTAAACAGTAAACCGCCATTTTAAGAGAAATGTCATATAGCGGAAGGCGCCATTTTTTAAAAAATACAGATTATACAAGTCCCGCCAGTGATATATCTTTTTACTATCTAAACAGATTTTATAATATAAAACTAGATCTTTTTTCATTGCTTTAATTGGTTAGATTTGATATAAAAAACATTGATAATAATATTAAACAAATGAAATAATATTTTCCCACACAACATATTGTCATGTTTTTGATATTTAAGTTCGACGAATGAACTTAAATATTTATAATATGCTATAACGTTGTACATAATTAAAATCTATACAAAGACAGGCGATTTACAACGTAGTATGTAAATTAAAGGCTCAATACGTTAAAATACGCAATAAAACAAAGGAAGTGAAACAGGTGAATAGAATATTTCGTAAATAGACGATGTGTCGTTATTCTAAATAAAAGTAGCCAGGCTTGGGAATGCATACAAATATTGTATTATGTGTATTGTATATTGATAACGTGATATATTAGTTACAAAAAGTACAGGGCTTTAATCGTTTTAACTGTTTTCATTTAAATACCCTTCTTAGGTAATACAATAAAAATAGGAGTTTTCTTTTGTAGTGTATTTAGGAAAATAAACTAGGATATGTTTACCATATAAACCGTTTTAACATATGTACTACCATTTATAAACCGGTCAATTGCGAGCCGTTGTAAGCTTTTAATCATTTCTAGTGCCTATCCGTTACCATTTGTTGATACAAGCGAAAATAGCCGAATTAAGTCGGTTTTTGAATGGGAGAGCGCCCGTGAAATATGTGTTGTAATAAATATATATTTTTTGTAATTAACGTATAAACAAATTGCAATAATACCAATTACTGGTTAATTATGTATTCCTCATAGTTTTCACGAGTAGTACGCTTTTAAGAGGAAACACTTTAAACTGTATAATTTAAAAATCGAAATTAAATTGTAAATTGAAAATTTCGACTCGGGCAGGACTTTAACCGGCATCGTTGGCGAGGTGCATGTAAGCATTAAAAAAATCACGATGAGGTGTAGGACTCTAGCTTGGTAGAGCACGGGCCGCTGACGATGCCGGTTAAACTGTGATTAAAGGGGGGGCGGAAATTTTTTCGATTTATTTTCGATAAATATATAGTGCTTCATGTGCAGTAACATGTACAAAAAAACATTACAGACGAATAAAATACGAGTTCAAATTTGATTTGGCTGTAGATGAACCAAAATTTTACCATCACATATCTCAAGAAATTCGAAGTCGTGACATAACCAGCCTTTTCACGGGACCCTTTATAATGACGTTAACTACGCCTTTGTGACTCACGCTATGCCGTTAAAAAAAGTTTAGGAATGCACATACCCTCACGTTTTTGTATGGGAACGAGAATAGGGATACTAGGGAAAGACAAAAGAAAGCTCTATTCATTATGTAATTAACCAGGTATGATTATTGTTATCGGATGAATCAAGTTTAATTTTTTAATTTCCTGCGTCATTGTTGTAGTCAATGCCACTAGATTCTACTAGTCTAGTTAGTGTACTGAAATGTAGATCACGAGCTTCGAATCCTGGACATAGCGAAGTTTTACTACGATTTCTAAAGATCGGGAGCGAGATGCGGGGAAGTCGTATTCGTATGGCAACTCAACTAGCAGTGTAGTATTATACATTTATCGATAAATACATTTTAAAAAGTTATAAAATTTAGATTGTTTAAAAAAGCGTATTATTCTCTGAACGATTTCTTTAATGACAAGACCGCCTGGCAGTAATATGATTTGCTTCTTAGTTTAGTAAGTTCACAACAATGTATTATTAGTTTATAAGACATGTTAAAAAAGCCGGACTGAGTTTCTTGGGTGTTCTTCTCAGTTATGATGCTCTTTTGAAAACTCTGTAGAATCACGACATTAACAGACAGACAAACAAAAAAACTTTGACGGATCTAAATAATTTTTAAAATTTAAAAAGAATAAAGTATAATTTATTTTATGTATTTTAAATCGAGGGTCGAGAATCCATGTATTGTCTATAGTTTACGGGAATAGTACACATTTAAATAAAATACTATCCGTGACCAAAGCTGTTGTAAATCATCCGAAACCTCGGGTCGTAGTAAAAATATATATTCCGCGTTTCAATCGGTTGAGAGTAAATGATACATTTTCCTACGAGTAACAAATTCTTAAATATGACTTCTTATTTAAGAAATATACAAGTGTAAAATCTGCTACGCTAGCGCCATCTATAACGCTTACAACAACAGGCTCACACCATAAGTTAACCAATATATTTTGCGTTTTAAGCCGTTGAAGATGTTTTATTTCAATGTGTACTACTAGGGTAGGGTACTACAGACAGCAAACAAACAAAGCGAAAACGTTAGCCCAAACCCTTTTACAATTGTTATTTCTATTATTACAAACGGAACCCTACGTCCCGAGAAAAAGCTGTTAATTACAAAGAATTTCTAAACCGCATTTGAACTGAGCACTCAAAGGTTGTAGACTCTGTGTGACAGAATAATTTCGTCTCAAACCTCCAGCGACTGAGTTTGACCTGACTTACGCTTATTAACTCTGCTCTACATTCCTTTTATGAACAATTTTGTATTCGGACCGTTAGGATTTATATCCAATTTAGTTTGTAGGCTCTATGTATTTTGAATCTCTGCCAAGATGTTGTTAAGGCTAAAAATATCTGTTGTTTGGGTTGAGTGCCAATATGTAATATGTACAACCTTCTAATTGGAAGGAATTACAGTGACACGAATTTTATTTATGGTTAGGCCTTCCAATGACTATCACTAGTTACCTCCTATTATTTCAGTTTCGCATATTGTTTTAAAAGCTATGGTGTGCCTGAAAGAAACTTTTATTTTTTAATGTTCTTTAAAAAGCTTTCTTAATAGCATTCATACATATATTTAGATAACAATGCATTTTTTTATAAAGGAGGACAGATAAACTTGATGATCACTTGTTGGAAGGTGAAATATTAATATCAACAATATTGAGGACCTATTTTGACCATTCGAAATCCACAGACTGCAACGAAACCATTAAACTTCACTTTATTTATTTAACGTGTTTTTACGGACATATTTAATACTCTTACTATCTTTAATAACCAGATTTCCAGACGAATCCAACATTTTCAAAAATAAAATTATTAGACAATCTTGGAACATGGGATCAAATCCATAAGTTAATTAGCTAATTGTATTTCTATCAATAACCGAGAATGTCTATTGTTTACGGAGTAGTACACATTTAAATAAAACACTTTAAGTTTAAAACGGAATATTTTTAAATTTATTTTTAAGTCTCCCGTACAGCTCTGCAAAGCATCCGAAACTCGGGGAATTAAAAATCATTTTTCAAATAATTTTAACTAATATATTACGTTTTAAACTTAAAGTGTTTTATTTAAATTTTAGACCGAGAAGTATTAAGTTGTATATTACGACTAGGAATAAGGGATGTAATTCAAAAAAAGATGATATATTAAAGCCGGTTTTAGCGTTTTATTATGACGTAAATCATATCACTTTTCGAGAATCGCTCCTCGAGCGGCTTTTCTAATCACCCCGTATCAACGAACTCAAATAACTTTTACAACTGTGTTATCTAATCTAATTGGTCGCAGCCGAATTTTTAATCTGTACTCAATTATTGTTTACACACGTAAAGCGGCTAATTCTCGCCAAACTTCGAATACAACTCGACGCAGTTACTGTGAACAAAACAATGTCAAAATAAACTAAAACCCCACGTGTTCATGAGCCGAAACCGATCCGTGAAAAGGCAAATTCGAAAAGTGAAAAGAGTCTCTCACTCGAAAACCGACTGAATAGAGTGAAAATCGTGAAAAGCGATCTCGCCGGATTAAGTTCTGAAATTAAAAATGAAAAGTTTTGGATGGGGATTTTTTTGATCCGCAATGCCGTCTGCTCTGGATATCGACCCGTTCAGCCAGCCCGAGTGGAGTGACTCTAGCGATTCCGCGGAGCCGGCGCCGCTGCCTCAGCTTGGCTTCTTCGTTCCCGTGAGGTGCCGGTGCGATGCAAGATCGACGCAGCACGTGTGTCGGAGAAATAGAAGGTACCAAAGCAAAAAAAAACGCTCGTTCAATACTTTTTAAAAGGATATTTTACAAATGACATTTTCATTAATTCGTTTGACAGCTGCTAGTTAATTCGTTTGGAATAATTTGCCTTCTAATATTAGAAGGGTCCAGACTCGCTTGCTCCAAGAATATGACGAAGTCCAACTATGTTATACTAAACTATATACTTAAGTAGCTCATTTTTGTATTAGGTATTGTTATTATAGGGTATGTAAAATTTAGGTACAATCCGACGTTGAATTCCCTGAAATAATTGCCTAACTCACTAGCATCGTTAGGTCTGTTACATAGCGGATATGTGAGGACTTGTTGACATAGTCCTCACATATCCGCTACTTACCTCACATATACGTAACTTTATCCCATTAAAAAGTCTTTATGCATTAAAAGTGTCTGTACTTTACTCGAGTAGTACACATCGACTAAACATCAAAACAACGGGATAAAAGGTGAAACTTATTAGTTAAATTATTTAAAATATATTTAACTACGGCTCGACGTATCGTCGCTTTGCAGCAGTCGTGGCCACAAAATATAAGAACTATATCGTGAATAAGTTAGCTAATATATATTGGGTTTAAAACCGTTAAAAGTGTTTTATTGTTCTTCTTTCAAAAGAACAAATCACGTAGAGACTTACATGATCTTTTTGTCTACAGGGAATCTCCCCGTTCGCGTCGTTCAATATCGCAATGTTCCTGCAACAGCATTTCCAGGCGGTCCTCTGCAGCAGCTTCGCCGGTCGCTTTGCCCCCACTCAACAACACTATGGAGATGTACGTGGAGCCGGTCGTAGAAGACGTAAGTTTTATTCAATTCTGAACTCTATAGACATGCTATTCTTCTTTATAACTGTATGCTAAATGATGTGCAAATGCTTTTATGCCAGGTCCTTTAGCACCAGTTATTTTGGCCGTCAAAATTTGTCTTGCAAATCTCATCTTTATAAACTATAGTTGTTACCCATATCGTCAGCGTCCCGTCCCGCAGTTTCGTCGCTTCCATTACGACCAATATATGATACGTGTTTTATAAAGCCTTTCTAGATAAATTCACTAGCCAACACAAAAACATTTTTTCAAATCAAACCAGTAGTTCCTGAGATTAGCGCATTCAAACAAATAAAAAAACTCTTCAGCTTCATAATATTAGTATAGATATGTCGTAGCGGCCACTATGTTACAATTTGCTTTGATGTTTTTTTTTCTCTACCAAGTAACTATTTAGTTACGTAGGTATGATGTATCCATAATATTCAGTTTAATAAGGACGCAGGCCATAGCTTAAGATAGTTAATTGTATGTAAATAAATGAAAGCAGTTGTATTTCATTTAATTGAATATTGTAGGTTTTCTTAGATTTTATTCGGTAATACACGAAACACCAGACACGATATTGTAGAAGGTGCTCTGAAAAAAAAAACACATTTTTAAGGTCGTTCTAAAAATATCTAAATAATCTCTGTGTCCGTTTCAATGGTCGTTTTTATTTATACGAAGAAAAAGTATAAAAATAATAGAAAATTTTGGACCCGGTGGGGTTCGAACCCACGGGCCGTTGATTATTAGCCATACAATGCTACAATTTCACCAATGAGCCTGTCAAAGCAATAAATTTTATCATCGTTCATTAATTCGAAATATAAACCATTTATGATTTTTCTCAAACATGTGAACTTCGTCGGGAAATCTGAATATAGAGTAATAGGAATTTCGAAATTTCGAATTTGGAATTTGAATTTCGTCCGGGTCTGTCCACAGATGGCAAAACCGTGAAGTTTAAACACGCTTCGGTTTCATTAATTTCCGAATATCCAAGACAAGAGTTTAGGTGCTATAGGCTGGGGTATTTCTTCCACAATCAATTATAAAGTGAACTCCACGTTTGTATGTCCCCCTCTATCATTAAAAAACAAACTAAAATAGCCTGCTTCAGATATAAAATGTAAAACAAACATACACGTCTCTTGTATGTTATATTTCCCGATGACTCGTCTCATCGACTTTGCGATTTGTTCCGGCCGGCTATAAAAGTATTTGTGTTGACTGCTCCCGTCTTCATTGTAAATGTCATGGTCTATTGAGCCCTTTGGTGACATGAACAGGATTCTATAACAATGAGTCGACTAAGTATCACATATCATTATATCATTAGTTTAATATGTAGGAATGTACCGATGCAGTATAAACCGTAACCGAACACAGTACACTTTAAAAGATTCGGTTAACATTAGTTTGATTTCTAAGTCGGCATCAAAGCTAATTGATTATTGAGGTTTGAACATGTTTTCCTTCACATAAAATTGGACGATGTCGGTAGCACAATTGGTTAGAGCAACAACACGGAACGCTGTTCTGCCTGTTCAATTTATGTACGTACCGTGGATCGAATCGTTCCGTCGAAATTCGGTTAAATTTTGAACCGAACTTAAAATGCTACTAATAATAACTGTATTTATAAATGCATTATTGCAATACACAATTACAATTCTTCACTCTCGTACTCGTGATTTTCCTTGATAATTACAATATGATTGAAAACTAGTGATATAAAATGTATGTACAAAGTTTTGCCTACGGAAGGCTTGGGATAAAACAGATCTGAGTTCGCATAATTCATCACAAAAATCACAAACACTGATTGGTTTAAGTTGAACAGTTGTGATCATTAACGTTTGTGTAACCGATCGAAACATTATTTTGAAGCCAGAATGTCTCGCCCTTGGTTCAAACACTATGAGCATCTTATGTTACTTTATAAAAAAATCCGTTCCCTCCATCCATCTTGATCAAATAATTCTCAGAGGAAAGCAATTATTTACTAGCAATTAATGTAAAACAATACGTAGATATGATATCGTTCTATTAATTACCGTGGTATATAGTTCCCATCTGGTGCAAAAGCATTGTTCTTCGGTTCCTCGTCATCAATCAGGTTCACCATAACAAAATGTTTACTCAAAGATTGTATCTCGTCGGAGCTCGCGAACTTCGGTTTTAAATTCTTACATGCTGAGCACCAGGACTTGTGGATGATTACCATCACGGGTTTCTGGTGGTGCGAGGCTATCTGCAAACCAGATTCCAAGGATCCCGCCCAGACGTAACTCGTACCAAAACCATTGTCTTTCCCACTCAGTGACGAGCATGATACCTCGCTGAAGATCAACGAGATAAATGTCTTTGCCAGCTTTCTTGCAGCCATTTCATGAATAATTTGGAGCACGACAGGTGTTCAGTCGTGCTAAAAACATTTTAAATTTATCATGTTCAGATGGCCATATTGTTTATTTTCTCTGATGACACATTTAGAAAGTGTCAAGCGCTAGTCAAAAATCGATGTTTTAATTTCAACTTTTTGGCGTCGTAAGAGCATAAATTGTTAAACATTCTCAGATGTAACATCTTTAGTATTAAAGCTTTTGGAAAGAATAGGCTGAAATTAGCTATGTTTTTGAAAGATTTTTGTTAGGACACACATTTTTCATTGGCATTAAAAATTATTTAATGATATACCTATATTCTGTACTTAATTATAAGGTCCTGTAATTAATTACTCATAGGAGTTAAAAAGCCTTATAGCAATAATTTACTAAAGCGCCATCTATCGACGGAATATTGAAGTGAAATGTACAGCGTTCATTTGCACAGTATAGAGCCTACTTAGCAACTGCTGTTATTGCTATAGTGGTGTCTTAGATGGCACTACTAACCGTAGTTTGAATTTTTTAAATAATTTGTTATCAATTGAATTTTGCATAATATAATTCTTAGGTTCACTGTCTTCTTGTATTCTACATCTGGTCTCGAAACCACAGTTCAGCAGTGTACATGAGGTACATCGTAATCTAGGTAGAGACCTAACAAGAAACGTTGAAGCTCCAACGACAGAAGTCAAATCCAAATCTAGAATACATTTAAGCAACAAAATGTTATGTGATTTTTTCTACTTTTGTAGTATTCCATTCTTACAATATCTTGTTAGTTATAAAATTTGACAATCTTATTACGTAGCTATATAATGTGTTTTGACTAAAAGTACGATACTTCCTTCACAAATACCTTTGTCTAAAATAAGGCGCCCTAATTTTGCACAGGTTAATGACGGATGTATTTTAATTATTTTATTGCTTTCAACTCATAATACTGAGGTACGTACTAATTATCACCCTTTATGCTTAAAGCGTTTGAATAATAATGTTGTTAATAGTCTAATTAATTTAATTAGCACATGAATTAATGTCTACGTGGTTTTAAATCAACAGTGTTAAATGAACCACTGATAAACTTTTTAAAACCATCCAAGTGTGTCTGCTCGTCTGTATGTATGTATATATATGCGTGCGTGTGCATGTTTTTCTCTCATTTTCGAATGCATTGCATTGCCGATACGTCTCGCTCCAAGAACCCTATTGGAAAAAGCAGATAAAGTATGATAATAACATGTAATGTGAACATGATTGTCTGTTTTAACACGCATAAAGTTGGACCGCATCTGGACGCCCGCACGCTCATTGATTAGATATAGAGCGAGGTCCTAAAGATTTAAATATTTCCAGGAATATTTATCATTTAGAGACCCTCGCTAACTTAAAACCTCTTTTCAGTGGCTTATTTTTATTGTAAAAATAAAGTCTACAGTCTGTGGTATCGTGAGTGCACTGGAGCGTTTAATCTGTGGAAGTAATACATTTTTCGCGCGCTTTCAAGTGAAACTTTTTATCCGTGTGTGGCAAAGTCTAGTGCTTCAGTGCGATGATAAACTTGTATGGAAGTCAGGGACGGAACCGTAATGTCTATGGTACGATACGTTCTTTAGCCCCAAGAGGAGCCCCGATTGCGACCCTCGATCAGTTCACACCGCCTTATTTCTACCACATTCCTCCACCTCCACAGCAGTTGAATACGTATCCTGGAAGAAAGAGGCGAAAGAAGGTAAGCTGTGCCGGAGTTTAGTAGGAAAAGATCCTACAAAAACTAAAAACTACTAACTAAAAGATCCTTTGTTAACCCTGTTTGTGTATTAAAATAAATACGCGTTCATTACAAAGTTCTATGGTTTCGATGTTGATTTTAAAAATAATGATAAATTATCACAATTTATAATATGAGCTATTTTTTATGAACAATCAACAAGTAGTGATTAGTTTATACACATCCATTCGCTGTAATTAATGTATGCCTAAGAACCTCAAACAAATACTGTTTGTTGTTTACGCGAGAAGTACACATTTAAATATAACACTTTGACGGTTTTAAACACGATATATTTTACTTAAACGTTTGAAAATGATTTTTAACTACGGCCCGACGTTTCGGATGCTTTGCAGCAGCCGTGGTATCCCGGAGACCTAAACTAAAATATACGCGTTTAAAACCATTAAGTGTTTTATTTAAACCTCAAACTAATTTGAACATACTATACAAAATGGTTAGACAACGAAGTTACGTTCACGCAAAGTTCTGTTCATAATCGTTACACTTTGGATAACTTTAATTTGAATCAAACAAACCGATGTGCGATAACGTTATCAAAGAACACCGATATGGGGGCGTAGTTTATTTGATATCTCTTACTCATCACATCACCCTCCTAAATATATAATTTCGGTGTCACATTTCATAATGAGGCCACTACACAATATTTTTAATATGATTTTTTTCCCTTATTTATTATAGTATATAATAAATAAACTCAGTCACGCGAGTTCGTGCGCGTAGAAATATTATTTTGACTATCTATTTTTGTTGCAAACCCCCTGTTCAATTCTCTAAATTCGAGCTGTTACCAACGACATTTTCCGCTTTTTCTTCGCTCCTAGTAGTCACAGCGCTCAATAAATGCTTTAAATAATTTTTCAAAACGGCAGTTCCTGAGATTAGCGTGTTCAATCAAACAAACAAACCAACTCTTCAGCTTTATATATTAGTAAAGATGAGGTTGCTAGAGGCAGAGTGGCTAATAACTGGAATTTTATGACTCGATTACTTATTTTTTATAGTCTAAAAATTTTAATATACAAGAGCAGAGTGACCGAAAATTGTTATCAGAATTGTTACACAAATAATAGTACCTACAAAATAATTTTCGTCTAAGCTAACTATAAAAACGGTTTACTATTGTTTTCGAGACGAATTTCACAACAAAATAAAAAATAGTTTCGCTACAGGCTCTACCGAACGAACGAGTTCTCTTTACACTATTGATATACATATTCTACGACTAAAGAATCACTAAAACAAATTAAAAAATGCCAATAACGTCGTGGGCCTTTCTCATGCATATTCTCTACTCTCTATAATCCCAATTAAAAATCTAACATCATCAATTATCGTGAAAATAACTGCAAAATTAACTTTCATACTTACGAATATAATTAGCATCTTATTTCGCTTCACGCTTGCTGCGATATCTTTCAATGAAGAGAGACATCAACTTGTAGGAGACGTAGAATGATGTCGAAAACGTTATTACGTCGAATAATATTTTAGCTCCCATGTTATATTAGTCTAAGCACTAAGTGCCTGACTTCTAGTATTTGACAAAACATGCCAAGTTGAAGCGAAGTGAAATTCGTGTTTCTGACGAAAGCATAGACATAGAGGATAACATGAGTATTTCGATAAATTTTGCAATGAAAAGAATTTGTGGATCTTCCACATTTTAAACGGTTAAGAGTGTTTTATAAATTTAAATGTGTACTTCTCGCGTTAACTGTAGACTAAATCATGCTGTCAATAAAATGCGTATAACTCCATTACTGGGTTTTCATGTGTCTGTATGTTACCAGGCTAGGTACCGGCAGAACTGCGATAGGTAGAAAGAGACTTTGAGCTATTACAATTTGTGTATTTTTGGTGTATTAAAATAAAAATAAAAAAATGTTAAGGTCCACCCCCCAACACTTCCACAATAAACGGAAGTTTGCGCTTAACATTTGGTTGGCACAAGACACGGTACGGAATCTTCGTTTTGTCTTTTGTCATCCTTTTTTCCGTTGTTTGTTCCCTAATTTTATGTCCGCACTATTCGTGTTTGTACACCACCTTTAAACCCCTTTTAGTCGAAAATATAATAAACAGAGTAATTAAAACTATGCATCTTGAAAGAGTCGTGTATCGAAAGAATATATTATAATAAAAATATAACTGCAAATACTTAATGGTTAATTTAACTATCCTGTATGTCTACTAATTCAGTAGTTGTGGGGACTGTTCCTCTGTTCGTTCGGTTATCTTTCGGCTGTATGTGCATAGGTTTGCTTCTCGGAACCTGCCGTAACCTTGGCGAAAAGATTCCCATGGAGTATCCGAGAAGAGAAGCTGTGGCGAGCACAAAAAAAAGTAAATTTTAGTTGATCCTTTGCATCCATTTCAAAACGTCGCTATTATTCATGTCAACAAGATGCGAAAATTATTCAATTAAATGCATCAATGTAATCGTTTATCTCAAGCTTTATTGTAAAATATTTTCATATCAAAGCTAACTTGTCAATGCGTGACAATTTTTATAATCACAGACTGTGTTCGTCTAAGACTTAAGTTGTATTATAGCTGATTTATAGATTATATTCCAGTCAGTCTCTTGCCCCCGATCTCTTTCTTTTAATAAATATTAAATTATTTCTTAGTGTGTCAAAAATAAATTATCGTTAATTTAGGGGTTTGGTTATCTTTTTTTATGCTAAATTCAAATGAAACAATTCTATTCAGAATTATCTTGTAAAAAACGTAATGGCTCTGTCTACTTGTATACCAATCTTTCCTTGTGAGATTGAATCACAACTAAATTTGGCTAAACAATGTAAAATGATAAGAGAGAATATTTCCAAAATTTTATTTCAGTAATTGTTAATCACATCCTCTATTACCGTTTTTCGCACAATTTGGTATTTCAGGCTGCTTCTTTGGTGGGCAAGGACCTGGTTGTTCCGGCGGCTTCGTAACCGGCGGCGGAGGCTTCGCTTCTGAAGCCTTCACTATTGGTTCACATGATCTTTCCCTAATAAGTGTGGTAATATACTTCTGTGGATTAAACGCACTATAGGAGTACATCACGCCCCCAAAAATTGTCAGAAGTATAAAATTTGTTTTAATCATTTCGTATTTATCTCGTTGGTCTATGCCTTTTATTGAAAAGCGATCGTTGAGGACAGACTCGAACCATTTTCTGGATGTCCAATGCCATAAGTGGGACGGTTTGATGCCTCGTTTCATATTGTAGATGCTATGTACTCATCTTCTGTGTACTTGTTTTAGGGAGCGCTGTGATCGGTTCAGATGAGGTTATAGATTATTGTGCTTGTATGTGGATTTTTTTGATGGTGGAAGACCATTTTGGAAGCCTGGAAAAAACGGTATTTTTATATACGATATTGTACGTAATTGTAAGGATTAATGTTAGTAATTCATCACCATTATGGCCGTCGTCGACGGCTGGCTTTTTCCAAAATAGTTGCAACGCACGAAAACGCTGCTGAAACCGTTACTATAAGAACTAGTTCTTGACGGGTCATGACATTTGATGTCCATTTTTCTTTTATCATCGAAAAGTTTTAATAACAACAAAGTATCATGGCACCGGGGGGGAGCTTGTGTCTATTTTTTTGTATTTACATTTTACAATAAAATTGGAAATTGCTAATTTGCAGACTACAATACATAACAACAAAATAAACTATACTTAATTCATAATATCTTAGTGCATTCGATACAAACACTTCGCCTAATGAAATAGCCCATCAATTTTATCAATACAGTTTGTATAGAGAGTCATAAAAACACCGAACACAGTAATTTATTGGAACTATTGAGACAGGTACGAATCCCGAACCCCTTCGAAGCCAGGCTGATTCATCAAATGTTATATTATCGAATCTCGCACCTATACTGCTGCAGTAAGGTTCATATTGCCGTATTGCTAACCAGCATTGGACAATGGTTATAGTAGCTATGCCGACGACCTTCACCAGAGATGCATCAAACCGGTTCTATAGATTCGGACATTCATTTTTCCGTAACCAATTGTATTGAATTATTATATTTGAAAACCCTATAGAAACGCTGTATTTTCTTAGACGGGGATTATAACCCGGTCTGTATATTTTTGTGCCTGAGTCTATTTTCGCAAAAACTAGTCAGTGCCGGGACTAGCGACGACTGCGCAGCGCTTATTATGTTTTTCAACTATAACTTTCAAGCTCGGAGGCTCAGAGTCCGCGCTGCCTCGTAGTGGGAACAAAACCTGTAGATACTGTTGGACCACTTCGGTACGGAGTACCTGCGCGACTGTCGTCCCTTTCTAACCTACGCCGAACTCGTTTTAACGAGAGTCTCCGTTTCACAACACCACTCTGGTATGCAAAGATTGATAGCGTATATGACCATTTGGTTTTGAAAGTCCTGAGAAATCACGCACGTTTACCTTTTCGCTGGCGTCCTTAGTTAAGATCAGTGGTCGGCGAAACGGACTGTATGTGGGGAAGCTATTTATCGAAAGTTCCAATGACACAAAACTGGATCCTGTGCTATTAATTGTTTCGAGTGAAACAGTGTTACCGAGAGAATAAGTTTGTTGTGTTGGCTGTATTTATCGTTGTCCGTTAAATTTCGCCGGGTCGGAAATGTGTCGTGGAGTTATTTACGTTTGTGTGTGATTGGATGATGAATTCACAATGGATAGCATGTCATCAGAGAATGGGCTAATGGTCAACAATTTGAACCATGTCCGGAGTGACTCTCAGGTGAGCAATATCGATGAGACAGAACACGTTTCTCGCACTGGGGACTGGTCTAGGAATAAGTGCAATGACTCCCCAATTATTATTCAACGCCACTGCCTTTATTTATTTTACATTAGCCCAATTGACGGAAGAGTCACCCAGATGAATTGGTGGTTCTTTCTTTATTATTTGTGATAGTGTATGTCACTGCTACTTGCAGTAAAATACTTCGGCCCTTTTTGGAGAAAAGGATACATATGTATTCTATAGTATTATAGTTATCTAGAAAGTTCAAATCGGGTTTTATAGATTTTATTTCATAAGTACCTATGCATCTCACACTCGTTTCTCTCAGGGCCACCTCGACTTATTTATTATTATCTAGTTTGAAATTACTCTCTGAGTGAGTATTTATTATTTCATTGTTTATTATAACACATTCATTATGTAACGAAGATTTCTTATTAAAAAATACTCGAAACATAAAGTAAAATATACTGACATAGTTTAAATTGAATATCCTCTTAAACTCAATAAATTTGTTTGAAAATACGGTGTGTCTGTGGACGCCAGAACCGAACTTGACTGGCGCCGTATCCTAAGCGTTACCGTAACGCTTTGGTTTACCCTCCCAATGTTATCGCTCTAAAATCATAGAGGTCAATAAGGTTGACAAGGGACGAACAGGAGATTAATACTTTTACAATTCAAACGGGCTACGTTTGTCCAATCTAAAAATATGTGAATTTATAATATATACTGAAATTAAAACCTCTTTACAGTATAGTTTTTTGTATGAAAGCCATAATAAATGCCTGAGAATTTCATAAATATCTGTATTATATACCTATATAGAAATGAAGGTACATTTTCTATATGGAGGTAATAATACTACTCACATACATTGTAAATAATTTTAAGAAACTGACTGCATAAGCATTAAGTATAAGCATTAAGCATTAACCCAGAGATTCCGACGCTAAAACAAAAAAAATCACCAATATCACCTGTCAGAATAACAAAGCCTCCAGACAAAGCTGTAACGTAACAATAAGGAGCCGTAAAATCGAATGAATTTGCAGCCAAAAGAGGTCCATTTTTTGCACGAGGACCGGCCAAAATTAGAGGACCCACATGTCAGATGACGTCACTACAAAACCAGTTTCGCGCCAATTCGCAGCTGTCGTCGACAAAGTGGTTGGGTTCCCAATAATCACTTTTTTTCTCTTCTTTGCTTCTTACCGGCCAGTTTCTGAGATACACCGTTAACTCATATCTAATTACGGATTTTCACTTCATTTCTTCATGCATCATTCATGTGCTCTGAAGAGCATTTTACGTCTCACGTGGATTTAAGTATTTATCAATAAGAATCGAAAAGTTATGCAAATTTTGTTTGATGAGTCATTGTATTCTCACGAAACTGCTTTTGGAATACAAAAATAAAATTTATTGAAGATAACCCATGGATCGCAAACTAAATCCTGTGGAGTTTTTTTTTGTTAAATATCGTTGTATGAAACGTGGATTTTATTTATAATTCCCTATTTTTTAATAATATATAATAAACGAGGCCTTTTATGTTCTAACACGTGAGTCATGAAAGGTCATAAAAGTAATAACAGTATGGAGTTAATAATTTAATTTAACAAAGTTGATATATTTAGACACATAAAATTAAACTAATCTCAAAAATGCAATATAAATATTTCGTTAATAGTTGCGATGCTTTAATTGTACTAAATCTTCATTAACAGTATTCCACTATTGTAGTTAGGTACCTATTTTACTCACCTAAATGTTAGTATGTCTACCTACTTTAAAGGCTTTCACAATAGTAAAGAATTGGGCTTAGGCATGATATTTTAATGCCGTGGTAATAACGAAACAAATGACTCGGTTAGTTTTCTGAGACATCGAACGAAATTATTCAACTTTCATTCTAATGAAAGTAAACAAGTCCAACAAGTTTACACTTAGGGCGAGAAATTAATTAGCTGTATCTTTCAATTTAGTCCCTGTATACTGTGACAGGAACCTTCAGAAACCGAGATAACTCCTTTAAGTACACACCTATGAGACTTGTTTAATAAAATCCAGTTAACCAGTTCTAAAATATTACTTAACTTATTTTTCGCAGGTGCAATCAAAATGCCATAATCAATAAGTGGAAAGTTACCCACTATTATTAGAACTTTGCATAATTCGCGGACTTTTACTTTCTTGCGAACAGGTTTGTTACGGAAATGTATTGAAACTTCTCGATTTTGATAAATATTTTTTTTTAATATTTGAAATGATAAGAAAGGTCTTTTGAAAAAAGAATGTTGTTATGTTTAATCAAATTGTTTAGGTTGTTAAGATTTTTTGTGTTCGTAATATCCAATTTACTTACTAAGTGTCATTATTGAATTAAGATCCACAACTAGGTATTTTTTTTACTCAAAGATACTTATGGGTTCGACAGTGTATAAATCGATGATTTGATAATAGCGCCATCTGCTGAATACTCCGAGTACCAAGCTTAGCAATGCGCCTCAGTCAGTAGCTCAGCCATCTTGTTTAAATTGTCATTATTTGGCATACGCCATAGGCATTTATTCTACCATTGACAGCGACGGGCATTAGAGAAACAACGTGGTTATATTGTTAAAATGTGTTAAGTTCTGAAAACATAATAAATAAATCATGGCCATGTTAGCGGAACCGCGGCGAAAACAAAAAATAATTAATTTACGTGCGAAGAATAATGCATGGAGCAATGACGCTAACAAATTTGGACAGCGGATGTTGGAGAAAATGGGTTGGAGCTCAGGGAAAGGGTTAGGAGCTAAGGAAAATGGAATTGTTGAGCACGTAATCGCCAAATATAAGAATGACGATAAAGGCCTAGGCTACACCGATAAAAACGATCAGTGGACAAAACACGAGAATGATTTTAACGCGATATTAGCGAATTTATCAACTGGTAAGTACAGTTTATTCACTTGAATTTTATTTTTAAATGTCATTAATTGCTCCCGGACTGCTTAAACTTAATTTAAAGTATATAATGTGACTCATTTTTATTTTATTTTTAGATAATGATAAGCAAAATGAAGTGTTACATAGTGGTGTGTCATTGGAAGTTAAATCTAAAAAAAAGCAAAGCCCGCATCCATTATCATAAGTTCACTAGAGGCAAGGATCTATCAAGATACAGTGAGAAAGACTTAGCTAATATTTTTGGTAAGAGGAGTTTCAAGGAAGAAGTTAAACCCAGTATCGAAGAGGATGAAATGAAATCAACAGAGCAAGTGTTTGAAGAGAAAGGCAGTATGGAGGATTACTTTAAATCTAAAATGGCTGCCTTGAAGACTAAAAAAAATATAGAACTTCCAAAAACAGATGATAATGAAGAAAATCCAGATTTTGTGTTTCAAGGATTTGCTCTTGATACAGATGACACAACGGACAAAGTGAAAACAGTTTCATTTTACAACAATGATAATGATGAAGTACAGGAACTTACAACAGTGGATTATACAATCAAAAAGAAGTCGAAGAAGAATAAAAAAGAAAAAATCTGAACATGATGAAATCACAAATATGGAAAATATTGCAACTGGAAAAATGTCTACCTGTGTCACCCAAGATGATAAAGAAATTCCTATCTCAGTCAGTAAGTCAGTAATACCCAAAAAACGTAAGACAAAATTAGAAAATACAGTACATCCAGAATGCATATCTAATATTGTTGATTTAAATACTGATAACATAAAAAAATCTAAGAAGAAAATTAAAAATAAACAAACAATAACTGAGGCCCCAAATGAAACATCTGTTGAGACAGAAGAATATGTACCTAAGAAAAAGAAAAAGAAGAAAAATAAAGACCTATAAATTTATATGTGCTTATTTTTGTCACTACACATTTTTATCTTAGAATTATGTAAATAGCTCTAATCTCATTTTGTTAGGCTTTTACTAATTAAAACTTGACATATACATAATTACTACAATATGTATGGTAAAAAAAGGGGCAATGCCCTTGAACTTGTTTATTTTATTATTCATTTGTATTTTCTAATTTTTGGGATTCGTTTTTAGAAATACTATTGCTTTTAAAACAATGCACATAACTTAGTAGATAAAAAACTAAAAAACAACTATAATACGAACTTACACCTATAATACGAACAAGTACAATATAAATAGTCTACAGATGATGCAATCGGATACTCGCCTGTACCGGTCGGTTTACTCTTGCCCGTCTCGACCGCCATTTTGTAGATTCGTTTCGTGTGTGGGGCGTTTCGAGATTGGGGCTTTAGTTTTTATCATAAAAGTATTATTTGTTGTAGTTTATATATTTTTTAGTTCTGGTTTTACATAATTATGATTTTGTTTTTTCACTTGCTCATAGTGACAATTGACTAACTTCAGAAAGACAAATGTCAAATCCCTGTGCATTTCCTTAAAGTGATCACAAATACTATTCAACACGTGTTAATTTTTACTCTTATTGTTTATATTGTTGCGAGTTTGACTTAACTTAACTTTTAATATTTGAATACTATAATTGTTTGTAAAACCATTGTAGTATAACAGAATGATAATTCAAATAATGGAAAATGAAAGCAGTAATACAAACAGTGAAATCGACTTGAAAAAGCGAAAGAAACTAAAACGTAATCGTGGTGATATTAATTTTGAACAATCAAAGCTACCAAATTCGCCAGAGATTGATAATTGTGATTTAGAAGAGTTGAAATCTGTTTATAGTAAATGTAAAGCTGTTTTAAAGAAAATAGAGGCAAAATATGGCCATTTACTAAGTGCAAACGACGATTTACAGTATGAAACTGAAAATTTAGGGACTTGCACATGTAAATTTAACAAAAAGACAGTTTTTGATGATGAAGGAAGACAGATAACCCAAGAAGTAATACCAGATATGCACATTTGTCCTAAAAAGCAAGAAGTGAACTCAGTAAGTCATATAAAAGTGAGCAAACCTTCCATTCAAATAGAGCAAAGAGAGGATTCTCTTCCAAATAATATTAAGGAGCTATCTGATATTCTGAAAAATGACAATATTGATATTGTACACAGAAATGAAGTGATTGAAAAAATAAGAGCTATTAAAGAAGATAATTTGAACATAATAAGGTTTGACAGAAAACTATTGATAGAACGAACAAAACTAAATCCTGATGAGCTTATGGAGTTTAAAGGGTCCAATATATCATCTTTATCTGGTTATCCAACGAAACGGTTGAAAAATTTATAGCGATCTATTACTCATAAAATAGGAATACTTATGTATTTATGTATTATAATTTGTATGTAATACTTAAATAATATTGTATTACACTATTCTGCATATTACACTTACACAACTGAGGTACAAAACGGTATGTTATGGAGTACTAAGTATCTGTTATAAAACTAATCAGATGACAGGCATTACAGTTAGTAGAATTCTACATAGTGACAAATATTTGAGAAGAGTCTAATTATCAGAGTATGAGTTCATTACATTGTTAATATTTTACTTTTACTCCACTGTAAGGATATAATAACCTGACACCTCTTATAAATAAAATATGCAATACAACTATGCAAATTTTGTTTTTGTTTTGTATCCACTGTACTTAAAATAATAATAATATGTCTTTAGAGGAGGACAGACAAGCATGGAAGTTCACCCTACAGTAGGTGAAATTTCCTAGCCATATAATATCTAAACTAGATGGGCTGTCGACTTATTTTGACTTTGCATTTTGGAAAATCCACACACTAAAATCGAAAGTATTCAGTTGACCTGTCCTGAGTATTATAAAACCAAATGATTTTGATATACATATTTTTGACATGCATATTTGTGCAATTTAACAATGGATTTTTATGAATTTGCTATATTATTTAACTACATATGTAAATTATTATCTAAATATTGCTATACATTTGGTTGACTAGCAAACAAGATAACTTTATTAGTATAGTAAGTAGTGAGTTTACATCTGTCTATATCCTATTTAAGGTATGCTAGTTAGAAAACTAGGCATTGAAAAACTGGTTAGAAATTAACTTTGCACTGAAGGAAAAGTTGATAGTTTATAGATATGAGATTTGTACTCTTTATTTTAGTTTCCAGAGATGGCTAGATGAAATTTTAGATAGCAACATAAAAAAAAATATTGAAACCTTGTTACATTCAAACAATCATTAAATTCAGTCATCAGACTTTATTAGTAGAGTAGAAAGTTTCATTATAAAAATTAAATTTAAGCTTTAAATACTAATGTATTAGATTTACTAAAAGATTTTTAAAGCACTGATAGTATAGGTATTTATTTTTAAAGCATATCTAAGTATAAATTTGTAATAATTAAATATTCTACAAAGATATCAATTATTCTCGGTGATACCATAGAAGTTGTACTTTAATATTCGAAATGGAATCTAGCACGGTTTTCGTATTGTATACAGAATAATGATGTGTTCGCATACCACGTTTCGCTTTGCATTGTAATTTGAACTTTACAATTTATAACAAAACGACACTCGAAAACGTACTATGTAAATATTAACATAGTAGAGTATATTTACCAGACCGTACCACATCTGAAAAGAACAAAATTCCCGACTGTAGATTTGTACCACTGCACATCGGGGTCATTCATTCATTAACCAGTTTCAGAGGTAGGTTGGTAAATAAAAACATTCTTATCATTCTTTCACAGTATTGTATACCATACGTTAAACAAAAACCAAACTTTTGTCGCAAAGTACCGTAAGGCACTGCCTACTCTCATTGAAATTAACACCCGTAGTACTTTTAACGATATATGGAGTGTTCTTAAAATATGTATATGTTAGTAGACTTGTCAATGATTTTGTCTTACATTGTGTTAATATGATTTCTAAAACATACAAAGAAACATATAGGCTAGTGCACCCTAGACACCAAGTTGTTCTTATTCTATTAAATAAAACACTTTATCGGTTTAAAACGCGATATATTTTAGTTCAACTTATTTGAGAATTATTCTTAACTACGGCCCGACGTTTTGGATGCTTTGCAGCAGCTGTGGTCAAGGGGAGTCTTCTCCATACACAAATGTTGTACTACTCGCGTAAACTACGTATTCTTATTTTGGTAAATGTTAAACTCACATAACCTTATTTTTAATTTTATTATTGTTTTGTGGTTAAAATTGCTTGGTATGACTTATTTAACATATCACTAGTTTTTTCAAGCACAATGCAATGGATGTGTTTTACATAAAATAACCATGCATGGGAATAAAGTAACGCAATTTTCAACATTCAAATATTATCGCACTATTGAAACACCCTATATACAACGTATTTCACAGCTAGACTATAATCTCGAAGTCTCATACACCGCGAGACCGCGTCAACGAAGCACGCGTATAAACTTTACCGGATAGTGTGTAAACCTATTTGTAATTGTTTATAAACATCAAGTGTACATAACTATGAAAATTGATACCTTTGGATTTTACGAAAAGACACAGGTGGGTCCATCGCATCCAAATTTAATATAACCTAAGCATATTAAATATCCAATGTAAATACGCTTGGGTTTTCATATTTTTTGATTGTTCAGCTGTTTTATACAATACCAATTTATTAGACCTCGTTAGCTAATTATTATTCTGTCATTATATATTCAACTACATTGTAATAGTTTTTCTTTTACGTACGTTAATAGTACATACTAGAAGTACATGCTTTTTAGAAATTACAAACCCACCTATTTTTATTTAAATAGCTAGTACAACGGGATAAATTCGTACTATATAATTGATCAGAGATAAGATGTGAAATTTCGTTTCCTCTATCTGGTGTATGGGGCTCATTTCTGGGTCTGTTTCACGTGCTTGGCAAGCTCAGACTTCAGTGTCCCCCTAACCTTATGTTTCAACAGTTTTCGAAGCCTTTGCCACTTACACAACTCCAAGTAAATATCGCCATAATTTATAATGTGTTTTTTAGGCTACTCTAAACATCTACATATTAGATGAGCATTATTTTCTCTTATTTTTCTATGCTCGATTTTTTCTGCTTGTTCGTGCAACTTTTAACATCAGCAGTACGTATAACGTCTATTGAATTGCTTTATTCGAGTACTAGTAATTTTCTCTAGTTATATATTACCTTTAGCTAGACTATGAAGTGTTTTGGCGATAATAATAAACCGGTCGTGGCTTCGATTCCCACCGGGCCCAACACGTGTCTGGTTAATTTATTATCTTTCTGAAACATGATAGTCTTCGTCTTGAAATCTGTATATTAAATGGATGGTAGAACTATGGAAATTTCGTTCGAGCCACAAATTACTATCTAGAGATGCAATAACCGTGAACTTTAATCGCGTTTCGGTTGTAGTCTGTGGATTTCCAAATATCAAAAGCCAAAATATCATCAGCGCATGTTGTTAATTTTCAAATTTGAAACCGTCAAGGTGTGCGACGGGCAAAGATTGATTGTGTGTTAAATAAGGTTGATAAGCCTATTATAATAACAAATAAGTATTTCTTAATATTCAATATTATGATGCCCACATGTATGCTGTTGCATATAAACTTGTGCGTGGGCGACTTGCGTAGGTTCATAAAACTTAGAATTCCGTAATTTACTGTCAATAACATGTAATATGAACATCTTTATGTAACGAGCGAAGGCTCTGTTGCAAGGCCGTCGTTATGAGGTTGAAAGTTTGTTGAGTTGAAGTTCAAATTCTAGGCGTGCACTATCAAAGATTACACTACAGAGACACATTCTACAATCACAAAGAGATATCCTACAGCAAAAAAATCGTCATGTTTATGTGCCAATACGCATGTGGCAAGCAAATCTTAGAAAGCCACAGTTTAGTCTGGAATAGTAAAAGAACCGATAATAATCTTTTATTGCTTATAGACTTAAAAATTAAGAGAATTAATTCAAAAATCTCTGGCGCCGTACCGTTTTACGTAACGAAGTTATAATTAAAACGTCTTTATACAAAACAACCACAGTTCTTATACGAGACACATAGAAAAAAAATTTTTTGGTGTATTTTTTCAATCAGTGAAATAGTATTACGTTATTTTAGCAAAAATACAGCGCATCGTGTTGAGATGTTATATGGCTTGGGTGTTTCGCCTTCCATCAACCCCAAGCGCCTCTGCCATAAAATAAAATAATTTAAGCCTCTTTAAAACATTTTAGTCTATTGTACGAAATATCAAGAACAACAAGAATGCATACAAATTACATTCAAGTATTGAGTTGTGAGGTTGTAACATTGGTAATCATTTAGGCGTCACTCATTCACAATCTCCTTATTGTCTTACAATAATCTTAAGACGTCGCCAAGGTTACCTGGCTTCTTAACATTTTCAATAGTTGTGACAAGGATACATACTGTATATTAGTCGTTTCAACGTTTTACCCCATTACTGGGCACAGGTAACTTATAAATAAATATATATATGTAGGAAATAATAATTAGAGAGAATAATTAACCTAACGCTTGGCCCGAATACCGCGAATAGGCGAAGCGTAGACATCGATCGAAATTTATACATTGGAAAAATTAAAAAAATCTATAGAAATCCAAACCTGATCCTAAAATTTAAATAAATCACGGTATAATACGCGATATATATTAGTTAAACGTATTTTTTTTCCGTGTCGGCCGCTGCAAAGCATCCGAAAGCAGTGGGACCATAGTTAAAATAATTTTCAAATAAGTTTAATATATATCGCTATCGTTTACGCGAGTAGTACACATTAAATTAAAGCACTTTTACTAGCGGTATACTAACCACTAGACCAACGAGCCAAATACATAAGTACATACTTACTTATATACTTATTGAAACCGTTATAACGGGTTTAAAAAAATGTTTTTAAATTGTATTGTATATTAGTGTTGGTGTAAAAAAAAAAATAATCTTAAACCCCATTCTATTGCTTAGTAAACAAGAGACGTACATGTCTACAGTACTAAGTAGTTACTCCGTGGTCTGAAAAGCTTACCCTAGCTAATTAAAAAGTAAAAACCGAGTCCCCTTTTATTGTTTGCCTTTCCGTTTGTTTCCCAAGTACTCAGTTGTACATTAATAAGTAATTAGCAGGCATTCCCACACAGGCACCAACTCTAGTCTTAAATTGTCTTTTGATTGCTTCAAACAGACTTAAAGGATATATTACATATTTGTAACTAACTTGAATAACTAGATATAAAATACTATCTTTAGTTTATGCGAGTAGTTCATATTTAATTAAAGCACTAACTGTTTAAAACGCGAATTATATTAGTTAAACTTATTTTAAAATTATTTTACCTACGGCCCGACGTTGCGGATGCTTCGCAGCAACCGTTGTCAATGGTTTAAAACGCGAAATTAATATATTTCACGTTTTAAACCATTTACATAAGTGTTTTATTTAACTAGGTTTTTCATATTTTTACATTTTTTTAAACATGTATAATTGTATTCGCTTTATATTTTATACTATGTGTAGTTACGTGTATAAAATAAAAATTTCTTAATTTTACAAGCTTGTATTGAGTTAAAAGTCCTGTATAATAAAACGCGGGCACTGTATCAAAAGCTCGAAACGCTGTGAGTCGTGCCTTCAATCACGCCATAGGCATTTTTTTTAACTAAGGAAGTTTTGAATATTTTAATAACATTATTGAGTATGTAAGACGATGCTTCGTCAACACAGTGTTTATTGCATAACGTTTAGCTTAAAAGGTTTCTGGTTCGAACCCCGGTAAAATGCAGATAAAATGTCTCGCTTAAGTTTGAAAATCAATTGTGATCTTAGCTTACATAGAAGTTTGGTTATCTGCGATGATCAATGCTTCAAAACGCAATGATCCAAAGAGATTGCAATATGCAGCTAGGTGCGCCGGACCACTCCTGACCGTGAGAAATCGCCTTCAAAGGCCATCCATATTACAATTCTATAAGTAAACGTGAAAGTTTCAAGGTGCAGAATTATTCTAAACGCCTAACGAGATATGCGTAGAAAATACTAAACATTTTTAAAACGTGTCACTACATAACGCAGCGATAAAACGAAACGGTTATGTAAGTCTGTACTATGGTCACTTCCGATATATCGTGTATAGGTTCGTAATCTTTGTTAATCGTACGAAATAACGTCTTATTAATTAGGCAAACACAAAGAAATGAATCTGACCTATAGCTTAAACAGGGAATAGGAGTTTCCTATAGACTATTAAGTATTTGTAACGTCAATAACCGGCCCGACTCTACAACGTTGGCACCGTATCTAAAGACAATCGCGTTCCCGGTATAAAGCGTACGCATTATAATCGAATCAACATTGCTAACTACTTTGTCATTCGACACAATGCGTTTTATCGACGGTTTCGCTGAAGACCTCAACAAACCCATTTTATTACCAGACGACACCTAATTGTAATTCAAGTTGTGGCGCTTTGCATGTGGTATTTACTAGCTCGTGCGTCTAATGGTAATGCGCAACGGCCGTGGGTTCGATCCAGACTGGGTCCAACATTAAAAAAAAAAACATGTTGGAATACCGAAAAATTTAAATAAAACACTTTAACGGTTTAAAAGCGATATATTAGTTAAATTATTTGAAAATATTTTTAACTTCGGCCCGACGTTTGGATGCTTTGCAGCAGCCGTGGTCAGGGGAGACTAAAGATGAGGATTTAGACGTCAAGTAAAAATTTAGTAGCGCCATGTTCCGTGAATTGGTATTTGGCGAAACTGCTCTTAAAATTGAGGTGTTTGGTTGTGGTATAGGATTTGTGGCGAATTAAAAATCATTTTCAAATAAGTTTAATAAAATTTAAGTAAAGTTTTATTTAAATGTATAGGTAATATAAAAACGAAAATGTTGAAAAAACTAAGGCCACGTCTGCGCAGATGTAAATACCGTAAAGTTCAATCACGTTTTGGTTTCAGTCTGGATTTCCAAATATCCAATGCCAAAAGATCGACTGCGCATCTTGTTGACATGGTGTGTGGCTGGGGTATTTGACCTCTCATCGAGTAAACCCCCATGCTTACCTGTCTTTCTCTATCAGGTTCTGCTGATCGATTAATATTACATCCTGTGTATTATATTAGATCGATGTCTTTGGCCTCGTTTTAACCGTGCCTGGAACGAGATGGTGCAGGACTTTTTGGTACAACATAATGGTACAGAACTCGATATAAATGCGATATAAAATGACTATTTCCGTAACGTCTTTTGTTTAAGTAACTTTATACTGCATGAAATGGTATATCAGTTTAAATTTCTAACATAGATCGGTCATTTGATAATAATCATCAGGTCGTGGCTTAGATCCCCACCGGGTCCAACGTGGTTCTCATTTTTCAACTTATATTTTTTTTGGAAATTTGGATATTAAATGGGGGGTGGAATAATTGAAATTATCTATATTCCGCCCGGCTCACAGACCACCGTCTTTAGATGAAAAAGCCGTGAAGCTTAATCGCTTTTCGGTTTCAGTCTCTGAATTTCCGAATATCCAAAGCAAAAAAAGGTCGACTGCGCATCTTGTTTAGATGATATAAGGTTGGGGTATATCACTGATTTGGGGGTATATGACTACCATCAATTGAATCCCATGTCTGTGCTCCTCTATTATAAAAAAGATAGGGTTAATCACTTGAGGCTTGAAAGGGGGGGGGTTTGATAAAAATCACGAAAACAGCACAAGGGGGGAAGGGGGGTTATAGTAAGATATCTCGTCTATTTATTTTTTCGTCAAACGCGCGAAACAAATGGTGTAGACATTTTTATTATGGTCCTTAATTTCAGAATAAAATAAGATTATAGTTTATACCTGTATTAATTTGTAAGATTCTTTGTAGGTACTAAAAATACACGTGATGTTGAGAAGGGGGAGGGGGGTGGTCAGAAACCTCACTACGTATCACCAATGGGGGAGGGGAGGTTTAAAAACTCTAAAAAAAGGTCACGTTATTAATGGACAACCCCTAAGATCAATCCTAAAGCCTTCAAAGATACATTAGTTAACTTATACTAGTAATATTAACGGATTATTCTGTACTTTATTACTAAACCTACGCAATTGTATGCATATTAAACAACTTTTTATCACTGAATTCATGTAATTGGATATTCAAAAGCTAAGTGTTAGTTGGCGTGTTTATTTACAGGGAATGTGTAGGTGGCAAAACTTGCAAAGCTTGGCTAATCGACGTGATCTTTGTGAGCATCTTGTAATGTGTTGCTTACAAAGGTCTTGCTTAGGGATTCCACGTTTTATATAGAATGAATACAATGTCAATTTTTTGATCTCTATGCATTTATGCCTTCTCACTGGTGGTTCTATGGTTCCTGAACTAAAAAACAGTCGGACGCGCAACAATAAACTTAGAAAAAAAATTGGATTACAACATTAGGACAAAACAAATGAATGTTTGAGAAGCTCATATTGACTAACTTCAAATTATTAACTCATGACCAGCGTGGTACTTAGTGTTTTACACCAGTAGTATCTAAACATTTCAAAACACGTCAACTGATATATTTCGCGTTTTAAACCGTGAAAAGATTTAAATATTGTCTATAGTTTACGCGAGTAGTACACATTTAAATAAAACACTTTAACGGTTTAAAACGCGATATATTAGTTAAACATATTTGAAAATGATTTTTAACTTCGGCCCGACGTTTCGGATGCTTTGCAGCAGCCGTGGTCACGGGGAGACTAAAGATGGAGGATGTCTCTGACGTCAAAGTAAAAAATTGCTATGCTAGCGCTATCTGTTCCGTCGAAGTTGGTATTTGGCGAAACTGGCCGGGTCCTTACAGAATTGACTAACGGTGTCTTCGCGTTTGCCGGTATGCTGTTTATTGGGATCCAGAGTTTTTAATATGGGATCCCAGGTGTTTGACAATTTGAGGCTGTCCTCCCTATTGAAATATCGGTGTTTTTTGATTTCAATTGCTTCGCGTACCTATCTTGGAAAAAATCTACTCTCCTTTGCGAGCAAAAATGTAGTTTAAACTGTTAAAGTGTTTCATTTAAACATTTCGATCTCACCTACTACTTCTAACGTTAAAAGCTGTAAAATAAAAAAATAAAATAGGGTTTCAATTGGGCTCTTTCTACAAGATTTACAACACATGAGTTCTTACATATTAAGGGCATACTTAACAATTTTCCAACTACGTTTTATTAGGATGGGAAAAGTGTCGTCTCGAGATACCAGCCGCGCTTGCCCATAAAAAGTAGCAGGTATGCGGTATTGACATTCTAGCTGCACTTCGCTGCGCTCGTTACCCCGAGACCTCGATTGTTTTCTGTTGCCAAGTTTCTCTAGGTGGATTCTAAAATTGAAAAGTACAGACAGACATGGACCAAAAAAAAAAATTTTTTTTCCGAGATAGTATAAAGCTGAACAGTTGGCCGTTCCCATCATTTTTTCGCTCCGAAAACGCACGCGATGCAAAACCAGTTCAAGATAACCAAAATATGTTTGATTAAATGATCAAAAAAATGTCCGCGACCGAATATGTCTCTTTTAAGATTTATTTCGCAAGAACGATGTGTTGTGTTGGCTGGACCATTTATCGCGGAAGGTTTTAGGCTATAAAATATACGGCTGCGAGGAGCGAAGAAACAAACAAATGTTTAAAATAAAAGAGGATTTTTTTTACTTTTGGGTCGTGCGGCGATGCGAAAACGATTCAAGAAACCAAAAAACTATGTATGAAAGAATGATTTCTTAAGTTTCTTGAAAATTAACTAATATGTCACGTTTTAAACCGTTGAAGTGTTTTATTTAAATGTGTACTACTCGCGTAAACTATAGACAGTATATAATTATTTCTCTTTAAGTAATCTAAAAAAATGTCAGAGAAAGGACGACGTCTTTGGTAACAGCAATAATATATAAAACTGCTTTGACTTATGAAGGTTTGCAAAAACAAATTTTGATGACCAAAATAACTATTCCACGAGGACGATGTCGCTGGCACAGCTAGTATACAAAATAATATAATTGTTCCTTTATTCTTTTCAGACGGCAGAAAGAAACTCAGGCTGGGAGACACACAGGGTGCGTTTGAACAGGGTACCAAGTTATGGGTTTGGCATAGCCGTGTCTGGGGGCAGGGATAACCCCCATTTTGCCAGTGGGGACCCATCTATTGCTGTGTCTGATGTTTTAAGAGGGGGTCCAGCAGAAGATAAACTACAGTATGTATTTGTTTAAGCGTGTTATTTTTCAGCAGCCAAAATATATTTTAAGATCCAAATAGGATCTTAAAATTGCACTTCTGTTATATGCACTATATATTTTAAAATCGGGGTCCAGCCCGAGTCGAAATTTTTTTTTTAAATATTTCAATTTTTAAAACATTTTAACATTTTTGAAGGGTTTACATTAATAGTGATCCTTTTTTTAGATTTTTTATTTAATAATAGAGGTAGGACAAACAAGCCTTCGTTCACTTAATGGCGGCGAAATAACACAGCTATGTATCACAAAAAGATGCGCTGTCGCCCTATTTTTGTCTTTGGATATTTAGCAATCCACAGACTGAAACCGAAACGTGATTAAACTTCAAAGCTTCTTAATCTGTGGATGGTATTTGGATATTCCTACCACCCATTTATTATCCAGATTTCCAGATGAAGTCCATCATTAGGATTAGACCAACGAGCCCAAAAGATAAGCTTTTTAATGTTTTTGTAATACTATTTTGAAATTGCTTGTAGAGTAAACGACAGGATCGTATCAGTAAATGGCGTCCCGCTTGAAAATGTCGAATACGCACGAGCAGTGCAAGTTTTGCGTGAGTCTGGTGCGACGGTGTCTCTGGTGGTTAGAAGACGAGCTCCGGCACCACCACCCACTGCCCCTACTTCTATCAAATTAGCACTATCCAGAAATGGAAAGAAGGAAGGTAAGAACTGAAGTATTATTATTAAACATTTTTTTAATGATATAGGAGGACAGGCAAGAACGGTTCTCTTGATGGTCGATGAGACACCCGCCTATCTCTAAACAAGATGCGCTACAGCACCTACAGCCAGTGGACCCGGTGGGGATGGAACCCAAGACCCGTTGATTATTAGTCGAACGTTACTACCATTACACTAACGATCTCGTTAAATACTCATCCATAATGTAATTATTTATCGCGTTTTAATCCGTCTAAGTTATTTTCTCTCAATACAAAATCTTGGAAGTATCATTCCATATATTAAAATAACCAGTTAGGCATATAATCATTGTTATTGATATTCAAAGTCACCTTTTGAACAAAACACCTTTTAACAAGACGTTTGAACTAAGTTTTTATTGCCTTTGAATTGACGTCATCACCGTCTTAATATAAATGTTTAAATTTATTAAACAAAGAGTCTGTCCTATTAAACATACTGTTTTCTGTTTTAATATGATTCTTTTGTTATATCTGTCGTATGTAGTTTTATTTTTTTTAGATTTCGGCATTGTTCTTGGATGTAAAATATATATCAAAGAACTGACAATGCGCGCTCGAGAACAGCTTAACCAGGCAGGCCAAGGGCTCTGCGAGGGAGACGTGATCTCAAGGATAAATAACACCCCAGTCACCGATGCCATGACGCTTAAGGAAGCGAAGAAGTTAATAGATGCTTGCAAAGATCGCTTAAACTTAGTAATCACGAGAGAGCTTATTCGAGAGGAGACAGTCAGTAATGGAAATTATCAGAATAATTACAGTAGCTTAGGTAAGTATAGATAGACAACCAAAGGTAGTTTTAAATTTATCCGAACTGTTAGTTCACAAGATGCACTAAAATAACCTCTTACATTTTTGTAAATGATATTTATAATTTAAAAATGGAATTTAATTAAATTAAAATATTTAAAATGCCTATTAGCAAAACACAGATATTTATTAATTGCCTAAAAGGTCACTTGAAAGTAAACAGATTATATATAAGGAATTAACGTTTAACTGACAAGCTAAGGCAAGAAAATAATACAGTTTTAAAGTTCTTGTAGTAATGAGTTATAAAACCGTTCTTATAGAAGCCACACCACATAACCCATACCCAAACAACAGTGGCGAATCGCTCTCGTCTCCTTATTCAAGCAGTGGTCAAAATTTGTATGTAGCAGCTCCAGTACGAGGATCTGAGAATAGAAGAGGACCTATGTCTTTGGACGGCCACGATCAGCCGCCACGGCCACCACCCCCCAGGAATGATGGTAATTTAAGTTTTCAGACAAATAATTAACGCGTTATAAGCTGTTTACATATTTCTTATTAACTCACCTCCTTCCAGATTACTACAGTAGCAGAAGACAGCTGTATGAAGAAGATGGCATGACAAATCAAAGAAATAAACCACAGTAAGCATCAACTAACCCTTTTTTGTGCATTATTCATTACGTAAGTACGTACCACAAGGTGCTATCATAGAACCACATGTTTATATTATTTTAACATTGTGCTTTTGTTTAGGACTGAACCGCGGTTGATAAGTTTTCAAAAGGAAGGATCGGTAGGATTGCGGCTGTGTGGAGGTAATAGATCTGGGGTATTTGTATCAGGAGTTCAACCAGCTAGCCCTGCTGCGTTACAAGGATTGCAACCAGCTGATAAGATACTCAAAGTAAGTGAAAATTATTTATAAATAACTACAGATATGTCTTATTACTTCAGACCTTCTTCGTTAATATCATCACTAGTTAACTGTATAGAACGAAAGAGAAGACTTGGTAAAACAGGGAATTGGCAAAAAGTGGTTATAAAAAAAGTTTCTCTTTGCCAATTAGTGACTTGCCACAAATATTACTGAAATTGAACGAATTTGTGTTACTTATTGTGGGTCATTATATTCCAGGTAAACGATATGGAAATGAAGGGGGTGACTCGTGAAGAAGCGGTGCTCTTTTTATTGAGTTTGCAAGACCGGATCGATCTCATTGTTCAGCACTCCCCGGATGAATATAACGCAGTTGCTAGTGGACAAATGCGTAAGTACTTATGTAGATGTTATAGTTATGAATTGCAGTTTGAAAACTTTAACTTTTTAACTACACGCAGGTCTTTTCGTTAAAGAGAACAAATATATATATATAAAAATATGTATATTTTTTGGTTACTTGCATAATTGATCAATTATCGTACTCATTAAAGGAAGACATTTGGAAAGCACTGAAACGATAGCTTGTAGTTTTAATGTAATCAATCAGCTGTACATTATTTAATTGTTTAAATAAAACACTTTAACGGTTTAAAACGCGGTATATTAGTTATTTGAAAATGTTTTTAACTTCGGCCCGACGTTTAGGATGGTTTGCAGCAGCCGTGGTCACGGGGAGCCGTGTCCCTAATGTATCGCGTTTTAAACCGTTAAAGTGTTTTATTTAAATGTGTACTACTCGCGTAAACTATCGACAGTATTTAATTATTTAATATCTTATTTCAGCGGGCGATTCCTTCCACATAAAAACACATTTCCACTACACAGAACCAACAGATGGTGAAATGTCGTTCCGTTGTGGGGATGTTTTTCATGTTGTTGATACGCTACATAACGGTACTGTTGGAGCTTGGCAGGTTTATAGGATAGGTCAGTAAATAGAATAATTCTCCTTAGTCGCGTTAATAGTTAATAAAGGTATAAAAATCACATTTCGTTAGATTTCACATATTTTTCGATAATTAGTCTCGACAAATGATAAGTGCTGCTTATTATGTGCTGTTGTGTGCTGTTATATTTATTGACATAATCTGTAGTCAACATTCTAATATTCTTACATATTCCTAGTAAATTTAATCTCATAGTCTAAGCAAACACTAGTGTAACTTTTCTGCAAAATTACCAGGTCGTAACAATCAAGAGGTCCAGAAAGGCACGATACCGAATAAAGCTCGCGCTGAAGAATTAGCCACGGCACAGTTTAACGCCACCAAAAAGGAAATGTCTGGAAATGATGGAAAACACAACTTCTTTAGGAGGAGAAGATCCACCCACCGACGAAGCAAGAGTCTTGGAAAGGTAACATTATTAAAAAAAGATGCCGAAACAAGCAATAACCGCCCCCCCGGGGGGGGGGGGGGGGGGGTTTGCGCTGGGGGGCCCCCCCCGGGGGGGGGGCTTCCGTCCGGCTCTTCTAGCTCCCACCCGCATTGCGGCGGTAAGGCGCGGCCCCCCGCGGGGGCGCGCCCGGTCTGGGCAGCATATCTTGGATGGGCGAGCGCTCGCAAAACGCCCGGTTAGTATTCGTGGCTCCTTAGGGGGGGGAAAAAAAAAAAGGTAGGAAACCAAAAAAAAAAAAAAACATTACCAGTTCTTATTTTGCTGCTTTAAGCAACAGCTCAAAAACTAAACCAGCTCATGTTACGTAGTCTTTACTTAAAGCTGAACACCGCAGTTAGCGAAGATAGCGTACCAACGAGCTTTAAATTAAACTAATTAAATATTCTCTTGTCTTGCAGGAACACTGGGATGAGGTAGTCCTATCAGATAGCATAAGCAAGTTCCCAGCTTATGAACGGGTGGTCTTGAAACAGCCTGGCTTCATCAGGCCAGTTATCATTCTTGGTGCAGCCGCGGATATAGCGAGAGAACGGTTACTCACTGAAAATCCGGATAAATTTTCCTCGCCAAGTGAGTTATATTTTTTGAAATTATATAGGTATAGTAAGATTTAATGTCAATCAAATTGAATTATTAAGGTGTACAACGGTGCAGCAGGCATCATTCTTTTTATTGACTTTATCTCACGACAACGATGGCGTGCAATAAAATGGTCAAACTTTACTTTTATTAATACTATCTTTGTAATTTAATTACTAAGAGAGAGACCTTAAACTTTTTTCTTTTTTATTTCGTGTGATAACATGAATATATATTTTCCAATCCAGAAATGGACAATACCCTGGAAGACAGCAAAACGAAATCATCCGGAATAATCCGGTTATCCAGTATCCGGTCGATTATGGAGCGTGGAAAGCACGCGTTACTGGACATCACGCCGAACGCTGTAGACCGGCTCAACTATGCACAGTTCTACCCGATCGTTATCTTCCTCAAAGCAGACAATAAGCATATTATTAAATCTTTGAGATCGGGCTTACCAAAGTTAGTATACGCTTCATTGTTAGGGTTTAGTTTTTTTTAAATTTCCAAGTAGTTGGGTTTTACTGAAGGTTGATTTATAGCCTAAGCTGAGCTAAGTATTAGATATTATATTTTGGTTAACTATTTCTGTAATTTCGTAATGAGTTTAAAATAAATAAATCTTAATCTAAGCAGTAATTCTTCCTAAGAGTCATTGTTGAGCCATCTGCCGTAAAGTTTCAATATAAATGTAATTAAAAGATAAAATGTTGAAAACCTCTTACCGTAGTCACGTTACCTGCAAGTCAGTCATTTTTTTTTACTTTCGGCCAATGTTAATTTAACCTTACAAATTACTAAATATTAGTAATAAGAAAACCCTATAATATAATGCCAATATTTAGGGCGAAATAAACAAAAATGTTTGCCTTAATTAATCTGGTTTGAAGGACCATTGCTTAAACAATATTAATAAATATATTTTTTGTCTTGTAGATCGGCGCATAAATCTTCAAAAAAGCTTCTAGAGCAGTGCCAACATATGGAGCGGGTTTGGGGCCACGTATTCACTCACACAGTGACACTCAGTGAGGCCAACCTAAACACATGGTACAATAAGCTTTGCGACCTCGTGCAGAGGACACAGCAACAACAGCTTTGGGTCTCTGAAACTAAGGTACCCATTGATGTCACATTATTGTATCAATTGTGCATATTATGTTTATTTGTTGCTGGTGGTAAAAGCGGGATATCTATTAATTTAATTATTACTATATTTAATGATACTATTAAAAATGTATGTATTATGAAGATACATATGTAACATTATATCAACAGAGAAATACTTCAAGATGGTCGCTTTAAGACGTTGGGTGCATTTGGTAAATTGTATGTGCTCTAAATTACTTAATAACTATAGAAAAAAATTGGAAACCGTTTGTTGGACTAACTTAAATAGCATAATGGCTCACTGAGTTGTAAAGACCGATAACTGAAATTCCAAATTTTTTCAATCATACATCGGCGCTAATAACCAGTTCTTTCTGTTCTGTCTGTCACGTGTAGCACGTTGAAATGGTGTCGGACATATACTTTCCAATACCTCCCTCCCCCTACCCGGCCTTCTACCCTATTTCATATCCCCTCAAGTATTACCCACAATCACCTCAACAAATCCGTTCACCAAACATCTTCTCACCAGAAACTAACAAACGTCTTGAAATGTACGACGCTAACAGAAATCACGTAGTGCCATACTACTATTCGGAAACATTAACGCCATGCATGCCAAATAACATGTACAGTGTAACTAACCCGGGGAGAGCTAGACATACGTTCAGTTACCCTTATGATGAGCGGCAGCACCGCCAGAGACGCTTGCTGAACTCAACTCTGAGTCCCGAACTGAACCAGGTGTTTAAGAAGAACAACGCGTCGCAGACCCTCAGGCCCTACAGTGTTTTGGAAACAAAGTTACCCAATACTAGACCTCAACGGCCAACTTCCGTTCTTCCTGTATCTGATCAATTCCGACCGGCCTCAGCGTTTTTCCAGAAGCCAGAAAAAACGACTGAGATCCCGGAATGGAAGGCGCGTTTGCAAAGCGAAATGTCCAAACCGATTCTCGATAAGCCGGTCCGGCGAATCTGTAGAATCCCGAATTGTAAGTGCAACGAGAACCCGTTCGTCGATATAAGAGTGAGCGACTCCCGAACTCTTCCCGCGGTATCGCCGAGGTCTCTGAGTAAAACTAAAAATCTCTCTCTGCCGACTTTGAAATTAGATGAAATAGATAAAGCTAAGATCGAAGTAGAAAGAGACATCACTAAGCCAATTTCAGAACAGAACTTAGGGTACGTGTAGGCGGTGTGGAAATAATATTTGGGAAGTTACCAGTATTTATTAACCAGTGCTGTTCCTGTATAATGCTTGTACATACTTGAAGAATTATGTCTTTTCTTGTGCTTTGAATATGTTTTTCTGCTTTTTTATAATTTCATGCCTAATCATTGTACATACGCCTTCGTTATCGTAATTTCGTATTATTTTTTATGCATTTTATTTACCAATTTATTTTTTGTTGCTGCCAATTTATTTTGAAATTCTAGTTTTAGTCTGTATTTTAATATACCCATAAACACCAGTGTTTTATACCACGTTTGATAAAAAATCAACATATAAAATTAAATGGCCAAAATTACTTCAATTTGATTTTTTTTAAACGAGGCAATAATTTTGCATGTTGATTTTTAGTGTGAACCAGTGCATTAATCATTCACAGACGCTAATTATAGTATCTGTACCTTTGAACAATCATTCATTCGTCTTGTCTTATCACCCCATTCCATAACCTACCCTCGATGCGACACAAAATGGCGGAAACTCAAAATGGCGTCACAGCGGCCGGAACCTCTATCAGATGACTTCTTATTCTCGATGTCGTCGAGCACAGAGAATAGATTATCGTACGCGTCTAGTCCAGAGAGCGATTTGGAAGTGAGCCCACCAGCGCCGAGGCTCGTGAAGTCTTCATCTGATCCATCAATAGCCACCACGCAAGACAATATGGATCGTGATGAAGAGATGAACCATATGGCCGACGCTGTCCCACCACCATATACGGTAAGGATTTCATTACATTTCCATCTCTAATTGTATCATTCTCCATGCTTTTGCCAACTATGTGCAATAATTTTACTTGTCTAATTAATTACTTCGGTGGTTGGATGATATAAAGGTTAAAACGATTAAAAAAACAGATATAATAGAAAACCTTAATGCGTTGTACGTTTACATTGAGGACAAAGCACAAAGGTCGGCAACACATCTTGTTTAGAAGTTATACATGCATGCGGTACTCTTGTACCTCCTACTATGTCCTCCTCTATAATAAAAAAAGTACGTTTGTGAAGGTGAACAAGGACCCCCTTATAGAAAAAAGAAGAAATAATGTCAACAATTTGTCACGCAACAACAAAATGTACTTACAACGAATTGCTTCAATTTAACGTAGCCTGTATGAATATTAAAAAACGGTTTCTTTTAATTTCATAATATTAATCACGGTTTATTGACTAATCACATTTTTAAATAAACAAACAATTAACGATTTAAAACGCGATACGTGTTAACTTTTGCATACGCGTTTCAAACCGATGAAAGTGTTTTATTTAAATGTGTACTATTCGCGTACCAACTCACCCACACTAGTGTAGTGTATTAAAATGGTTTTGTATTGTACTAATAATTTGTTGATATATTAACAAACAGCAAAGCGGATACGACAGCAAATATGGATTTTCATCCAACACAAATGGTCCTTCGAGCAACGGCGCCAGTCACAACCCCCACTTGCCTCCAGCCAATGAAGTACCGCCGTACCAGTGTAACCCTATGTCACAGTCTCCACCTCACTCGCCCTTGTATGGAACAGGTATTTGAACTTTATTATCCCCTATTGTCACATACTGTCTGAAGTTTACTTGCAGAATTGACAAACGGCTTCGTAAATGCGAGGACACCGTTAGTTAGTAAATTCTGCAAGGACCCGGCTAGTTTCGCCATTTACCAACTAAGACGGGAAGATGGCGCTACCGTAACCGTTTACTTTGACATAAGAGACACCATCCTTCCTACGTCTTTAGTCCTCTCGGCTGCTGCAAAACATCCGAATCCTCTGGCCGTAATTATTGATAAATTAGTTTGACTAATATATTTGGTGTTTTAAACCGTTTAATAGTTAAAGTCTTTTTTTTAAATAATTTTCACATGTTATTGCACGCGTGAGTATATATACCGAAAAGAAACTAAAAATGTACGAGATAAATGATTGTTACTAAAGAGATATATAATATAGTATCGATTATAACAAAGATAAATTATTATGTTCTTTAAAAAAACATATGCCCTTATTCCTTTTTGTTATAGTACCAGAATTGCCACCTCGTACTGCAAACCAGCAGCCAGTGACTCGCCCAGCTGGTGGAGTACTCCTGCCCGCACCACCACCTGGCAGACCTCCACATTCACTTCGACATAATCCAACTGTAAGTAATTTATTTATACAATTTCAATTTGCTTAGTGGATTATTTAATAAAATAATACCCCCTCGTACGTCGTCCGACCCTTAGAAGCGGGCATTTTTAATACATAAAACATGAAAATTGTAAAGGCTTGCGAAGTTATTTACCAAAGCTATTTGGGGTTGAGTTGTTCGGCAGTCGTATTATTGCAAACTGTTCTAGACGCCATCATGACTGGATTCCATCATCAGATTTTTTTATTTATTTTTTTATTTAAAAGGTCTACAAAACTCAGCTTTAATATATAGACATGATATAAATGGCTTTATACAAGTAAAAGTTCTTAAAAATTAAGCTTGAGATGTTATCATTTCTACGACGACCAAGCAGCTTAACAATTCACGTATTTTATATAAATAGGTGTAACATGTTGGCGACGACACCAAATGTTATATTTGCTATCTCAATTCGAACAGTATACCGGATTAGATTATATTGTTTAAATTGGAAACCGGAACGACTTAGCAATAACTTTTCAATATCTCGTAGAGCCGTCCAAGTGCGCAAGAGCGTCTCTTCGGACCTCCAAAGGACGGCAGCGGTGAAGAAAGTGGGACTTACTCAGCGCGCCCGACTAGCATGGTCATACAGCCCACGCAGCAGGGCTCACTGGATAGACACAGGCAACAGGTAAAGTCCAAATATCCAAAATGTAACGATAACACACCTTGTCAATATTTTATAAACTTACTGACAATTAAATTTTTAAAAACTTACTGACAACTGTAACAGTGTTTTTAACTTTTCAAAAACACATTGACACTTTTACACACAAAAAATGCTAATAATCAACGGGTCGTGGATCCCATCCCCACCGGGACCTAGATGCTCCTAAACAATTTTTAATATTTCTGTAACATGCTGGACTTTGTACATCTGGATATTAAGTGGCTCGTAGGAATATCAAAATGCCGTCCGGGTCCCCGCATGAAAAAGCGTCGATGTTTAATCGCGTTTCGGTTTTAGTTTGTGGATTTCCGATTATCCAAAGCAAATATAGTTCGACAGCGTATCTTGCCTGTCCCATGCTTGACTCTTCTCCTTTATCATAATAGGCCAAATAGAACTTGTTATGTGTTTATATTATGTCCTCACACAGATAGATGTTTTTATGTTATTTGTAACTTCTAAAGTTAATACTGTTAGCAGACGTCCTACGACGGCACTTCTTATGACTACGGCAGTAGCAACCAGCACAATAGTATGGGTTCCTCTCGCCTACCGCCGAACGCTCCGGACGATCTCAAAGTTGCGCCTTCCATGTAAGTATATGTTATAATGCCAAGAAGTCCTGGGTTCAAATCTCGGCGACACATCATAATTTCGTACAGGTCAGAACGCGATAGTCTGTTTAGTTAAATAGAATTCGATTAGTGACATACAAATGTCTCTGTCCCATGCCCCACGTAGGGAAAACGGAATTTCACTGTTTACATAAAAAATCACGTACAGTGTGTGATAAATTATAGTGTAAGGAGGGCTAAATAATTATTATTGTAAAACTTGGTATACTCGTACTTTAAATACTGTATGTAGTTTACGCAAATAGTACACATTTAATTACACTTTAAAGGTTTAAAACTTATTTTTGTTTTAAACATTTAAAAATTGTTTTAACTACGGCCCGACGTTCCGGATGCTTTGCAGTAGCCGTGGTCACCGTTACGTTAAACAAGTACACAATACATACATACAAGGGCTTTAAGCACTCGTCTCCTTTTCCAGTAAAATGGAGCCACCACCACCGCCGAACCCCACAGCAATGTCCACACAAAGTCCGCAACGCAACTCCAACTCGCTAGAACACAATCCACTGGACTATAGACCACCAGATAATACGTACAGGTAACATTCACTACACGGGTATATACAAAGTTTATGACACATTAATACAGCTTCCTAATTAAAAACAACTTTTCTGTAAATAAATTACTGTGAATTACTTACAATGTATTCATCATATTGTTATAATAATTTCCATATTAAAAATAATCCCGCTTTTATTATTTAGGGTATAAAAAATCTGAATAAAAAGTTAAATGTATATAAAGCAGTTCTAATAAAATAAACATTATTACTCGCTCTGCAACATTGATCATTTATGAACAGTAATTATATAATAGTTAATTTTGTAACTATCCGAAAATTGTAAATAATACTGGGAACTAACAAAAAAATCTGCTAATCAAATCGATATTATTCTATTTGGGAATAACCTCTTTGACGATGCAGTAGGGGTCCGAATATTAACGGTGACAACTATCGGCGCGCGATGCCGAACGGTGTGCAAATTGCGCCGGCGCACGCGCGCGGTCCTTCACTGCCTAACGTCACCACTAACGATCATAACAAGTACAGGTACGCTTCCTAATGCTTATCACTATTAAAAACTCATCAAACCAACAAATCAAATTCAATATTTACGAATTATTTGTCTTACTTATATTTTATTTTAATAAGTACATAATTGTGATAAGGTCGATTAATGGTCTTCGGTGAATCATCCTAACCTATTAATGTCCCAATGCTTTACACGTCCCCTATTTTAAAACACACGCTCTTCCAGTTCAGGCTGTAACAACTACCACCACATTCGTGGTGATAACTGGGACCACGTATTCTCCAAAGCGTGTAATAACATCTACTTCTGAACTCATTTCTCTTAGAAAATACGAAATACCGAACATTCTGCGAGATTCGAACCCGGACTCTCATGATCTGCAGTCATTGCTTATCACCAATCCACTTAATTTATTAAACTCACTATGTCAATAACAATATTTTGTTAATACATCTTTACACTGCACAATGATTATGATGAGGAAATAGATGTGATATACTAGTCTTGCACTATTTAATTATATATATTAGAATGTACAATCTAAGTGCAATATAATTGGTGTCTTTGGTCCAAAGTTTTTATTGATCCTTGGAAAATAACAGCGCAAGAACCAACTCAGTTTCCCAAGCGGACTATGGGCGAGCGCCGCCCTATAAACCTGTTCCACCGCCAAAGCCCAAACACTACCGTCCACCAGATAATCATCCTCCCAGAAATGGGGTAAGTTGCATGTGTTTAAAACTATCTCTTAACGTCGTCGTAAGTGTAATAAAATTTATATAAAGATATAGAAAAAACAGAAAGTACTCTCTGTAGTTTACGTGACTTATACGAATTTAAATAAAACACTGTAACGCTTTAAAACGCGAAAAAGTGGCTGCTGCAGAGGGTCCGAAAGGTCGGGATAACGTGTTTCTAGTTTTAAACCTAAACAGTTTAGTTGTTTTTTATTTAGAAACAAAAAGGTCTATGAAAAGACTAAAAAAATTTTACTCGACATTTCAAATTATTTTTCAGGGAACTCGTGTTTTAAGACATCTAAGGACCGTGCTAAACTTCTAGTAATGCCCATATATTTATTTATAGAACATGGATCAAAACCCAATGGTCGGTATGATGAGTCCTCCTCGAGCCCCTGGCCCCGGGCCAATGGGTGGTCCCGGTCCCATGGGCCCCCCGCCTCACTATTCTCACTCGCATTCCCATTCGCAGCCAGTGCATCAACCTCCGCATCCGCACCCACACAACAACTACCAACAGGTAACAAAATTTAACTACACTAATAGTATAATAGAACTCCGAAGAGTTTGTTTGTTTGAACGCGCTGATCTCCAGAACTACTGATTCGACTTGAAAAAATATATTTGTGTTGGAAAGCTTTAGGCTATAAAACACGTTTCCGTTGCGTGCACTGAAAAAAAACAGTTTAATATTCCCAAAAAATATTAAAGCAATGATTCCTCTTTAATTGATTTAAAAAAATGTGCGGCATCTCTCTTAAGATTAACTTGCAAGAACGACGGAACGCGACCGACGTCGTGGGTCTTAATTTGTAAAGATATGCAAAAACAAATTTCGGAGCCCAAAATAATTATTCCCTACAAAGTCGCTGACACTGCTAGTATATAAATGTAGAAGTTAAAGTTTTGGTCATATATAAGTCTGTCGTGTATTAATTTAGTTATGTTTTAACGTCTATAGTTTGGGGGGAAAAAAAAAAAAAAAAAAAAAAAAAAAAAAAAAAAAAAAAAAAATAATTAAAAAAAATTTAAAAAAATTTTTTTTTTCCCCCCCCCCCCCCCCCGGGGGGGGGGCCCCCCCCCCCCCCCCCCCCCCCGGGCGGCGGCAAAAACCCCCACCCGCGGGGCGGAGGAAAAAAAAAATTTTAAAAAAATTTTAACTAATATATCGCGTTTTAAACCGTTAAAGTGTTTTATTTAAATAGTTATGTTTTATTAATAACTTTCCTTTTTATTAAGGGTATGTATGGTCAGATGAGCCACCAGCCCCAATCTCCTCCTTACTCCGGACCACCGTCACACCATCGAGCTATCAACTTACCGCATAATCCACACCTTATTGGTAAGTTGAACAAATGCAACATAAAAAATATGAACTAAAAATAAATAAAAAGAACTTCAAAAATATTTCTTGTTTGTATAAATGCGTCCGTTACCTAGCAACGAACATAATTAATCGTTACTTTGAGTAAATAAGTGACTGCGTTATTTTAATACTGTTAGCTTAAGGATCAGTGATTTTTGAGATCTTGAAAACTATTTCTTTATAACAGACTTAGCCGGGAGTCGAGAGCAACGAGGTTCTGCCTTCGAGCTTTATAGAAAGCCCCAACACATGCACAATCTAAGGTAACACGCTTGAAAACGCACACACATATCATATCGGACGTCCTCCAATATTGCATGTTCCAACCCAATCTATCGAGATGTTCTCAGCCCCTGTACAATTTGCTCTAACATGCAAACACCGATCGCTTCACAAACGACTAACACGTCTTGGGCCACAGTATTATTATGGTATTGTATGTGGTTATACAAATTTATAAATATTATATATTTGTAACATATATCCTCTGTCGGGCGTATTTGAATAACATGTAATTAGAGTATGTTAGCCTTGGTTGATTCTGAAATATGTAGCAGTGCGTGTCTGCATTTTAGTGCAACTTGTTTATCAAAAGCATATTGACTTAAGTTGTCACTTTTCTGGTATCTTCCTATACATACTGTTGAGACGTAAAAACTCATTTTTTGTTAGCATATTTATTTCAATATGCTCTTCATAATCTCAAAATTCATATTTATAAATCCATTGCCAAGGATGTTTCAGATATTCTATCATTCCATAATTGTTTAGATGTATGCTTATAATCTGAGGCATCCTTATATACATCATGAGTAACTAAGTGGGTTTGGTTGTGGGTTTCCGCAGCTCATCCGACGCCATGAACTCCAGTGCAGAGCCCGACGAAACATTCTCACCTAAAACTAAAAAGAAATTATCCAAAAAACCATCGTTCATTAAGAACGCCGTCCTCGATTTATTCCGCTCGAAAAGCAAACAAAAAGTGTCTCGACAGAAGTCATTGTGCGAAAGTGACTTGCAACAGAAGCACGGCCAAGTGCCCATGTTGCGACGAGAGAAATCCGACCTAAGCGACCTTTCGATTCACATGAGGAACACGCAGATAAGAAACCAAATGTTACAGAGAAGTAATTCGTCCTCTTGTGAAAAACCTGTTTTAAAACCGATACTTAAAAGGCAAAGTTCATTCTGCGACGACAGAAATGGATCCATTTGTACAGTTAGAGATTACGAAGCCAAACCTGTCGTGAAGAGTCTTCGCAGACAGAATTCTATGTGCGAAATAGAAACTGAACCTAAAGTTACCCCATTGTTACGTAGACAAAACTCTCTCATAGAATATAATAGGAGAGGCATTTACGGACAAACACACAGCTTTAATATGATTACCAAAATAGACCCGATTTACCAAAGACAGCAACAAAATAAGCATGAACCATTTTACCCGACGCAACCACTACCTCCAGAACCAATATACCAAAGCAAGGATCATTTGATTTACGATCCTATTCCTAAGCCAAAACGAACTTACTCTTCCATTTATGATACTTCTAGTGAGAACCCCTACGCTAGTAGATCTGAAGTGTCTAATCACAGTTACGAGAATCCATATGGAAACCGCGAAACTGTGGCGTTGCCCTTAATAGAACCCTACGCAACAAGAGCCGAGTGTATAAGAGAAAATCCATACGCGACTAGAAGCGAAGTTATGGAAAATCTGTACGCCATGAAACAAGACATCCCAAGGAAACCTGATTCGCTTTGTAATGAATCCCCGTACTCTAGTAAAGAGCAAATGTTAAGGCAGAGAATGGCTACCGAAAGTCCTTATGCTACAAAAGAAGACATGCTCAGGCAGAGGTTTTCGGAGTCGCCTTATAACACCCGAGAGGAAATGCTGAGGCAAAGATCAGAAAGTTCTTTCACAAGTAAAGAACCAATTTACGGCAAGAGAACATATGAACCACCGCCTAGCACGTCTTGGTCTGAAAATCCGTACGCTATTAGACCGGATCGAAGATTACACACACCTGTCACTTATCCCGGACGTTCCTCACCTTTAAGTAAGTGTATGAGTGAACCTCCATATATAAGTAGAACAGAAATGCTGGCAAGAATAGGTCCACCGCCTGAATCGCCATATGCCATACGATATGAGATAAAATCAAGTTTTTCGGATTCAAACTATGCATCTAGGAATGAGCTATTTGATACAACACCACAAGTGAGACCAGCGTCAGCTGAATGCACCTATGTATCGAAACAAGAGATTTTATCTCAAAAGGCCGCCTTACTAGCAAATAAGGAATCGACGTATAGTTTTAAGTTGGAAGAAAAACTAGAAAGCATAAAGCAAAGAAATCAAGCTAAAAAAGAAAAGATATATCAGACTAGATTAGAAGCTAACGATAGCGACTCTGTTAAAGGACGAGAACCATTATATGTATCAAAACGTGATCTAAAGGATAGCGTAATATATGAATCAACACAAGAAACAAAAGAAAATCAACCGGCACACGACCAAGATAGTCTCAGGAGCAGCCCATATGAATTGGGTGATGCAAATCACTTATCAAGACGAGAACCGGTATACCAGACAAAATTGGAAGCAGTTAATGGTGAGACTGAAACGTTTCAAGAAATAGATTTCTCTAAATTGTATCTCACCGAATCTAAAACGGATTCCGAAAAAGAAAAAACAAAAAGTTTAGAAGCATCTATACTAAAAGGAGAAGCGATGTACGCCCCTAGATTGCATGGAAAAGCGGGACATATTTCCAATGCCCTGAAAATTACTACTTCTCCGGTTCCGTACGAATCGACGACGTCCATGGAGACTCAATATGCTTCAGAATGTAGCATGAATTTTGAAAATAAGCCACAGAGCACACCTTACGCGTCACAAGATCTACAAGATCGCCAAAAACCGAGCAGATCTGTTACGTTCTGCGAGAAAATCGTAGAAAAAAGTCCGGAAAACAGTCAAGACACATCCGAAAATACATCAAATAGTAGAAACGATACAACCGTAATGAGCAATGATAATACTATAGTTAAAATAACTTCGGAATCAGCTGCGGATAAGTCTGATGTTATTGAACCAGACGCACCGCACACAACTTGGGGCATCTTTGACAGCGAAGGCGGTGTTTTAGAAGACAGGCACTGGGGCGTGTCCCTTATAATCCCCCCGAAAGCGATAGCTCCCGGGATCAAGCAAAAGATCTACTTTACGGTGTCAGATCCGCGATTGAGTCAGCGCGTCGGAGGACCACCCATCGACATGGATAACGGTAAAGCTTTTGCTACGCACGCGACGTAGATCGTAGACTGCACTTACTAATTGGCAATTAACGTTTGCGAACGGAGAGATATGCAGAATGGGCAATGTGTCACGTAGATTTTGTCGTAGCTGCAACTTGTGAACATAATGTAGACTGCATGATCTATGAAGCATGTTTTATATGTATATATCTCTTGTAGTAACTATAGCTAATCCCGACACGTTTTCGATTTCATTATACGGATCACAGTCGTTATTTTACACATCATGTTTTTAACAATTCATTATTAACCCCGCGTTTTTACGCAGTTTCTGCCACACAATACACTCGTACTTAAAGATTGAGGAGAGGAGACGACGCGCGTGCTGCCTGCACCCAACGGTCAAATCGTATGTTAGATAGAGTTTCAGATTTTTGTGCACTGTTCTGTAATCGCACCTTTCATTATTGTACACCGTTTCGGACACCACATATTTGTCCTTAGAGTCGCTTCTGTATACAAATTATTATCTTAGTTCTTTAGCAAATAGCACACGTTGAATTCACTGTAACAGTTTAAAACTCTACGTTACCTAAATTTATTTACTTTCGGATGCTTTGCAGCAGCCGCCCAAGCAACCGAAACGTCGAGTTTCAGATAGAGGAAAATTTAACATATATATTTTTCATTTTAAACTGTTACTGTTTGTATATCACAAATTATTTTTTAATTTTATAGGGGTACTTATAGTCTCTATGTATAATCGCTAGCTTTGCATGTTTAATGTTGCGCTAATCTATTGCGATATGTGTTTGTGTGTTGAGTTCTTGTCAGTTAATTGTACACTCTTTATCTCACTTGAACGCACTTTTACCTCCCTTTGCCTCCTTTTCAACGTTTTTTGCTACAAACAGGTGAAGCGATGCTGTCTCCACTAGTGATGTGCGGGCCTCAAGGCCTCGTATTCTTACGACCTGTGACGCTCCGCCTGCCGCACTGCGCGAACGCCATCCCATCTCTAGGCCTGACAATCAAAGCTACGGACACGGAGGCCCATCTTAGTACTGACTGGGACAATATTCACTTGCCCGCCACAACTACGCTAAATACAGTTGCTGTTAAAGTCGACCATTTCTGATCTATCATGTATTTGAACGGCGTTCTTTATGGATTTCTCTCCGGCATTCCCACCTAAGTTTGTGTTACTTATAAGATAAGGTGCTAATGCATTCATATAATGCGTAAAAGACCACACGAATCTCTAGAGCTTACTAATGCAAATTATATGTAAAAACTTTCGTTATATTCGAAGAAAGACATCGTTTAGGAAGTAAATTGATATGCCTTACCATAACCTAGTTAATCCTAGTTGTTAAGATGACTATCATCTAATAGGAATAATATTTAATCAAAATATGTTTAGCGGTAATTTTGTGAAAGGGCACAGATTAAAAATATCACTTTTGGCTTCCGTAAATTCTAATATTTTTTTATATTACGTTAAATTACTAATCGTCATTAAATTCAGGTAATTCGGCCTTAGGAGGGCTAGAGTCATATTATCTTATTAATAAAGAATTAATTGTATGTAGGTATGTTGTCTTGTTATTAGTAATACTATGAATTTACCTTTGACCCAACTATTAAATTTTATATTTACTGAAATTGTGTTTTATTTATGAACGATCTTTTGAAGAATAAAGGAATTATTACTTTCATATACTCTTATCATTATCTTTATACACTAATGTGTATAAAGATAATGATATGGAAATTATAAAAGAAAAGATGATCAACAGGACTCAAACCATGTTCAAAATATTAAAAATTGCATATTATAGCCACAAATACTATTTTTACTGTCTGTTCTAAACGAAATCCCAAATAGCAACGCATAGCGTTTGCACAAGCGATCTAAAGTAAAACGCGACAAAGAAAAGGCCGAACAGGGCACATAATTATAACCACCTACTTGTTTGTAGATAAGATTCTCTAAAGATCCCATCTAAACTAAAAGTGATAAAGTAGCGTTCACTTTGAACCAACTTGGCGATTTTATAATTGCGATGCGCATTTAGGATAATGGTTTGTACTCTAATATAATTACTTGAACTCATTACCGGGGCAAAGTTTAAGAGATCGCAAATGCAATGTAGAAATCAGTTTGCATATTTAATCCAAACTTTAAGGCATAATGAACTCTCTAGCTATCGAGTAAAGTCGAAATTAGTTTACACATATTTTTATTTAATAGAGACGTCTTCGATGACTCCGAAGTCTGCACGAATTACACGAAATAGGTTTCATGGTGAAATATTACAAATACTTATTTACAACATTATACACTTTAGGGACAGGTTAACGCGTCCCGTCGTTCTTGCGAGCTAATCTTTTTTGAGATCATTTAAAGAGAAATCATTTGGTCTTACATATTTTTGAGTATCTCGAACCATTTTCGCAGTGCACGCTATTGAAACCGTCAAAGATGAGTTTGAGTGATGACATTTCCCACCGCTACAGTTTCTTCCCTCCTATTAGTCACAGCGTGATAGCCTAGTCTGTCTCGAGAAAAAACAAATTTTTCAATTGAAACCAGTAGTTCCGGAGATTAGCGTGTTCAAACAAACGATATTCGAGGCCGTTAGAGGCAGAGTAGCCTAACTACAAATATATGACTTGAGATTATATATATTTTTATAGTGTAAAAATGTTAATCTACAAGAGCACAATAACCAAAAAAATTTAACATCATTTTGTACACAAATAATACAAATTCAATTTCGCCTAAGTTATTTTCTTTTTTTCTCCCTATTGAAAAACATGTTTTGGTTATTAGGCCGCTCTGCCTAGCAGCCTCATATATTTATGAATATGATTGCTTCATTATTGCATAGTGCATACAGTTGTTCTGATTTTTTTTCCGGGCAACGTCTAAAGAGCATTTACTGAATACAAAACCATTGACCGCAAGTTAAGCGAAACGGCGCTACATCAAAACCTTGACCTGTCCCTCGTAATGTAAGGCATTGTGCTTGAGTTTTCATCTCACGCAAATTATTATCAAATCGCAGAGACCACTTAGTTTACCCTCAAGAAGAATTCCGATGTTATCGTTTTCATAAAGATAAAAAGTACAGTCGAAATATTGACGTTACTTGAGCAATGTTTATTGTCTAGTTTAATTATAGCGATAACTAGCTGTGGCAGCGGCTTCGTCCGCGTGGAATAGGTGTTTTGGGCATTATAATATTATTTATTTCTGTAAACAAACTCACCAGTTAAATACTGAGAGTAGTACACATTTAAATAAAACACTTCAGTGGTTTAAACTGCTAAATATAAGTTAAACTTGTTTAAAATAATTAAAAGAAGATTTTTTCTTTTCTACTATTTACTTTAATTGTCTTGAACGGGTTTCGCAGCAAACGCAACGGAAGCAATCAAAGATGAATAATATTTCCTGTTTCTCCACATTATTATATATTTCTACGCTCCTATTGGTTGCAGTCTTATTAGGTTTAAAGCCTTATAGATGCCTAAAGCATTCCTTGATAAATGGTCTATCTAACATAAAAAGTTATGTTTTCAATTCGTACCATTAGTTCCTGAGAATAGCACGTCCAAACAAATAAACTAACAAACTCTTCAGCTTTTAAATGTTTAATACAAATCTGACATCGTACTACGTAATTGTTCCCAATTGTGGGTCCAGCGGTGGCAATGCTTTGGTGGAAGTCGAACGGTTCGTGAGTTCAACTTCCGATACTTATAATTTTCTAAACATGCTAGTCAATACAACGTTCGGCAAAATCGGCAAAAGTGGTCGTCTGTGTTCCAACGTCAATATAGGTCGACAGTACATCAGATTTGCCTTGGTCTCATAAAAATACTTATTTACTTAGGAAATTATTCCTATTTAGAACTGAACTTTGTGATCGCTGTGCTTATGCAATTATCTGAATGCCACGCGTTTCAGCTGTCCGCTGTTAAAGAGTCAATCAATATTTCTCTGATTTATTTATCGATAGACTTAAAAAGAAGTCGATTGGACTTTCTAAGCCCGTTTTAATCGAGTTGATTTTATCATTTTGAGACGTTTACATAATGGGAGGCAGCGATTGTGGCAGAGATAGTTTCTTACTAATCTGTTTTATGAATTTAAATAGAACACTTTAACGGTTTAAAACGAGTAATGTATTGCTTAAACTTATTTGAAAATTATTTTAACTATGGGCCGACGTTTTGAATACTTTGCAGCAGCCGTGGTCACAGGGAGACCGCGACTAGTTAAAAAATTTTCAAAAAAGTTTAACTAATATATATCGCGTTTTAAACCGTTAAAGTGTTTTATTTAAATGTGTACTACTCGCGTAAACTACGGACAGTATTATTTTATGACTGTTTATCACTAAACAATGTACATTCGAGTTTTATAAAATCTTAGGTTCGATACTAAAGAACGCTACAGCAACATATAAACCTTTGAATTTGTATTGTTAGTATTTAAAATAAATGCTTTGAATAAATACTACCTGGCCTGGGTTTGAATCCCCGGGCAAAAATAAAGTGTTTAAGAAAATAATCTGATCTTACCAGTAAATGAGTTGAGTTTGAGTTTATAATACTATAACAGTGAAACTACGAACGTATGTTTGCCGTGCCGCATACAGGAGATTCAGGAAGCGAATATAACGACAATTATATTTTGTTTTTTATTAAAGCTCATATATACACAGAAAATTTTTATTACGATTCCGACACACTAAAATCTAACATTTTTTAAATTTTTTCTTTTTGTAAATGGCTTTGCTACTTTTGAACTAACGAGCCCGTCACATTAGGCATATAAAAATATAGAGCAAAATTCTTCTAACACGTAAAATTGTAGGACGTGCGAAAAAATTAAATTCACGCAAACTTGGAAAAACCCAAATCGAGCAAAGGACGAATGACCATTTATAATGCCTCATTATTCGGTTTTGCAGAAGATTAGATCCGCAGATCGATAAGGAACGTCCAGTCTTTTTTATTGTTTAACCTCTGCTCTTTATGTTTCTAAATAATTGGTCAAAGTCTTGAATACGTGAACGTGTTGCTTAACAGTGCATGAGCCAGACATGTTAGTCCCAGATTCCATCATTTTGTTGATGGAAATTGGGACCAATCTAATTTTATAGTGGTAACGCAGTAATAATCCCGCCTCGCACCACGTTGCGCCACCGAAGCTCTTAATACTCTTATTTAAATAAAACACTTTAATGGCTTAAAACGCGATGTATATTAGTTACTTATTTGAAAATTCCTTTAACTACGGCCTATCTTATTTAAAATAGCCCTCGCCACTCCTGACCACCGCCCGAACGTCGGTCCGTAGTTAAAATATTCTCCAAATAAGTTTAACTAATACATATCGAGTTTTAAACCGTTAAATGTTTTATTTGAATGTGTACTACTTGTGTATACTACAGACATCTTAAGACTCTCTTCAATATGAGGACCAATGCCCAACAGTGGACATTAATTAAAACGTTAATTGCTTAACTAATTTCAGTAAATATTATAAATCAGATTTATCAAGAAACAATATAATGCTCATTTAATATATGAAGTAATTAAGAATCAAGGCGAACTTGAGTAAGTGCTGTGTCCACAAAACGACAGCCATGTTATTTGACAATATGGGCAATACTGGATTATTTAGAAAAAGCTTTTCGCCTGATGCCTTTTAAAATTTTGTGCCCGATGGCTAAAGTTTCCCGGGATTCAAACCCATTAGGACAATACGCTTAACCATCGAACTCCAGAGACGTAGAGTACATAGTTATATCTTACGTGAGGTAATCAAACATTGGTACTTAAATGTGAGTTGGTACTTTACTGATTCGTGTCGTAGGTGAAGCATGATTCGTTACGCGTGACGACTGTTTCATATGCTACGAAATAATATGGACCCACTTCTACATGATCGCCGTTGCAAGGCATTTCCTCAGATTGCGTTAAGCGCCAGAGGTCCTGGGTTCCAGTCCCAATTAAACACAATAGCTTCGATCTTGTATAGAAGCTTGATCAAATAGTTTTATTTCTTGCATCCTTTAAGGATGCCAATCATGAGGTTCTCTTGATGGATGGTAAAAAACC